GGCAGCCTATTACCATCTTCGATAGAAGGCAAAAGAAAGGAACACTCTAACACATTGGTTTTGCCTTTGATAGGACTGACATAGTTTCTACGGCGCTGCGACCCCGCACTTCTGCAAGAGCATGTGACCTTGTTTCACGACTCATTTGCACATGCTCTTGTGCGATGGAGATGCCAAGCGAAGCCATGCGCTCGTGCAATTAACCTCGACTGCATTGGAGCACAGCGGGAAAGTATGCTAACCTCGGCGGTGTGGCGTAATAAATGTCGAGGCTGAGTATAGACATTTGCAGGCGGCCACGCTTTCTATAGCTAGTCCGTCCCCCGGGGATGGAAAACGCTTTATTTGGGCGCCAGTCTGGAAACCGTGTACGCCTTAGCAATGCTTAATTATCGGATGATCTGCCCACACCAGCAGCAAGATGGCGGTGCCCAGAAGCAGTACTTGCAAATGTCTATAGGTTGCGAGAGTTCTGTTTCGTCAGCCCCATTTAAGATGAGAGTGCGAAAGCCAAAGTAGATTTCTAGAGAGGTGATATCTGCCCGATATCAGCCAAAATGTCTTCCTTGTGAGCCAGTTCACCGAGCTCAGTAAAATCTGGTATGTCAGACCGATAAGTATGGTTGTACGGATATTGGAAATTTCAAATGTAAATTGAGTATTTTATATTCTGTTGATTTTTGATTTGAGCAAATCCTCTCTGGTGCTTATCAAATATCAGATAAATATTTAACCAAATGATAAAAAGCCACCTAGAAATTACTTTTTTTTTTATGTAATATTTCTCAACAATAATGTTATGGCCAGTTGCTTGTTGCATGCCTTTTTTCTAAATAGCTGTTGGTTTCTTTGATATGACATCATTTCGGGAAGGCTTTAAGATATGCGTAATCCAATAAGAGCAGTTCTGAAGATAGTAAAACCTGTAAATATTGTACAGGAGCAAATGTTAGCCTTTTCCTTTATTACTCATATATGTGAGGTCGGGTGTTTGTGCTGTTAATGTTTGACTCGCATTAAACAATATAATATTTGTACTCCTCGAAAAATGTTGCCGCTGAAAAAAAGCTGCGCAGTTATGTCCTGGTCTTTTGACAAAACCGGCACAGTGTCGTGGGGCCTCTCTGACATTTACAGCAAAGGCTCTGCTTTATTTTTTTTTATTAAATTGAATAAGTTTTTTTGTTTTTTTTTGACATATGGTATTTAAGTTTGAAAGGCAAAAACGTTGCAGTGTCTGACCCCCCTGCCACACAGCAGAAATAGATGTCATTTGGATCGAATGACGTTCGCCCTGAATCTCAGTTGTTTGCTGCCACACGAGAACATTTTATGACGTTACCTGGAAAGGACATTTGTTGCCAACTGAGTTCAGGGGAATTCATTCGCAGTTATTTTCAGACATCTCAGGCTGGCTGAGTGATCTCTACGGCAGAGATGCAGTGAAGAGCAGCATTTGAAATTGTAATCACAAAATAGGATATACATGAAATGTTGGTATTTATGAATTACTACATGTATACTTGATTTTCTGGTATAAAGGTATTACGTCACAGAATTTCATAGAACTATGTCTGTACCTTAAAATGAGAAGACGAAGAAAGAACCATTCTTGTTCCTGTCTGGTTTTCATACAGTGTTCTAATAGCCAGTGCCACAGTCACCATTTTACTTCCTATTTGATGCCAACTAGCATCATAGCCAAAGAAGCAGTGCTAATAAAGGCAATACCATCAACTAAAAACTGCATACTTTTGCACTTGAGAACCATTGAAGACAACGTCAACCTTTAAACCTTGTTTTCCTTTTCAAATACGGTATCAAAAAATACAATATCCAAAGGTGTGGCAGGAGTGTAAGTAACTTTCGAAGCTCTGAATCTCAGATATTTTGGATTCATTAATATGGAGACTTTGAAAGTCATTCAATGCATTCACGCCATATTGCTTTGAGGTGCACTTTCACCTGAAAGTTTTTTTGTTTTTTTTTTACATTGGGGATTGCAGTGGAGTTCAAACCGATTATTTTCAATGATTTAAAGTGTATTTGACACATTCTTGGCACATTGCTGTGACACACACATATATTAACAATGTGCACTTTGTGACCAAAAGGGGTTTTGACACCAAGGATTACAGTGGAGTGCTGTTGGCCATTTTGCTTTTGAGATCTTTTTGAAAGTTGATCTAACAGTTCCTCAAGTGTCGGCTGCCTAGCTCCTGTTCCATGTTTCGTGACTACCGTGGGCCCTTGCTGGTTCTGATAGCCTATCCAGTCTCAATTTAACTTTTTGAGTCAGAGTTGTTTCACTGATGGCTGTACAGCAAACTCTGTGTGCTCTCCCCGTAAACGTAAGCAGATCTTGGTTCTGTTGTAAACGAGATTAGGGGCTTTTAGTTTTTTGTATTTTATGCCTACAGCACAGGATCAGACAATGAGAGGCAAGGACGATTTAGATAGTAGTCTGTCCGGTTATGCGTGTCTGCCTGTTGGCAGATACAAAAACGTGTTGCTTGTCAGGAGACACTGAAACTAGGGTCGAGAGAGCTTTTGCTTTCTGTCAGGCCATCGGCTTTGCCGTTATCCGACCCATAGTTGTTTTCTCATCTGTTCTAGGTCTCGTGCAGTGCAGACAATCTAAATCCGTAAATTCCAAGAAAGAAGCATGCAGTGCCGATATATGGATATTTCGTGTTTGTTTTCATTACGTACCAACTCCGGAAAGAGTGGAAACTTGTTTTACCACATTTCACACTTAGTGTATGCTACCAGCAGACAACAGTGACAGTTTGTTTACGTTCATTCAACATTGCATTCGCATTGAGCAAGTGGCAGTGGAGTGCCGCATCGATCATATTTGATGACTTCATAAATGCCGTGCTCTCATACTTTTAATCATTTCACTTTTACGACGTTTGGAGTTTGACGTCGTTGTAAATTCCATGGGACTTCGGTATCGAAACCAGTAGTGCTCTGTGTGGGGTGAGTACATAAGCTCTGACTAATAGTTGAGTGTGGGGCATGGCCCATGAAAGCTCTTCCCTGCCATTCCCTTCCTGCCAGTGACTACAGTGCCATGTGGGTTTTCATACTCACTGGCATAAAACCAGTCCTTAGGCCTTACACTAACCCCTTCTGCTCACTCACTAACAACACACACACACACCACTAGCATCACCTATACCTTGCAATAAACAGATTTAGCCAAAGGTATTACGTACACCCGTGAGTCAAGATCCCCCAGGGGTCCGATTTTGGTCAGTGCAAGAGTGAGGTTTAATTTTCCTCTCACGGATTGAACAAAGATAGCGTTGGTGGACGGTTCGTCTGCTAACACGAGCGAAAAATGTGGTTTGTCTGCTACTAAGTGCCATTCGATGACGAAAATAAATCAAGAATACAGCGTATGTCGTCTGCTAACAGACTGGGAAAAAGTTGGTCGTCTACTACGAACAGAGCTTTGCGGCGAAGTGAGATCGGACACGGGCTGAAATTGTAATGTCTGCTATTTCACATTAGAAGCCATAGACCACTTGCACTTCGTTTGAAAATCTCAAGTTGTTCTGCTGCTGTCACAAGCTGACATTGACTGGTGGATCAAGGAGTACTATGGACAAGCACATGAAAGGTGGCGCTCGCTATTTGTATGTTGGTGAGACATTCTCACCAAGATATTGTGCGATTGTGAAGTTGCGAATGGGTCAAGATCATCTCGTTGTTTGATTATGTGCAAGGTGTGACACCACATTCAATCAGCAGCCGAGAATGCTCTCGCTCTTACCTTGACCAAAATCGGACCCCAAGTGAGACATTTAACAGCATAAACTCTCACGTTTTTATTTTCTGAATTCCAGTTTCTGTGCCTTCTTTCTCATAACCATTATTTTGTCGAAATAGATGCTATGGCATCCCTAAATGCAACTTTTTTGTTTTCGACATAGATTGTCTCTGTTCATACAAAAAGACTACAAGCTTTATTTCCTGTTCACCGTGACGGCCGCATCCGCACATAAAGTTTTAAAATATGTGTCCACGGCCTAGCTTTTTTGCGGAAAATTACAATGCACTTAGTCAAGTAGTAGCTGACTTGTGCAGTCAAAGAAATATTTGTCACATTAAAATGATTAGTCACTTCGTGCTAGATTCGGAAGCAACCATGTGCTGCACTGGTAACAGCTTTGTAATTGGTCAGATCTCGAAAGGCTTGGTTGCGCCAATTAATATAAAACATCTTCCATCTACTAATGTGGTTCCAGCACGACGGTCAATTTAGAAAAGTTTAAATGCGGACAATGTTGGCGTCCCCAGTCCGGCCGCCGCTCCCCTAGTCCGTGAGAGAGTGTACTAATTGTGATTAAACATTCCATGTCCATGAGAGAACTCGCTAATTGTGATCAGGCACTTTTCCATGAGAGGATAGGATGATTGCAATCAGACACCCCATGTCTATGAGGGGATGTGCTAATTGTGATGCAGATGCTCCATGCTCATGAAGGTATGTGCTAAATATGATCAGATACCTCATGTCCATGAGAGGCTGGGCTGATTGTGATGCAGATGATCCACATCCTTCGAAGTACAGTGATGTCTCGTTAGTATGGACACCTTTGTTCCCCCCAAATATCGTCCATAATGTGAGTGTCCATAATAATGGGACAAAGATGCATGTCTTTTCCCAGTTTGTCCCTGAGAATGGTGTCCATATAGAGGTGTATCCATATTAATGAAGTCCATATTAACGAGACATGACTATATGCAAGTCATGATCAGACATCCAGGTTCTTGAAAGGATGGGCTCGTCGTGATCAGGTGCCCTACATCTATGAGAGATGTGCTAATCGTGGTTCGACACCCATATCCACGAGAGTATGTGCTAGTCATAGTCAGATGCCCATAAAGGATGTGCTACTCGGGATCAGACAACCATGTCCATGATAGTGTATGCTAATCATGACTGGACGTCCCAACAAACACCTCCGTGTTGTCGGCTGTTGTTGCAGTGCTGTTGAGCGAGCAGTACGGAGAGCTGACGCAGAAGACACTCAAGATCACGGACTTCGGACTGGCACGGGAGGTCTACAAGACGACGCGCATGTCGACGGCGGGCACCTACGCCTGGATGGCACCAGAGGTCATCAAGTCTTCCACATTCTCTAAGGCCAGCGACGTCTGGAGGTAAGCATCATTTGCGGCGACGAACATGAAACGGTGGAGGGGAAATGGCAGGGTCGTTTGAATGTCCGATCCCCGGCTCAAAAGGAAGTCAAAGACAGTTGTAAAAGTGCAGAGGATTAAAGAGTCTGCCGTAAAATACCGGGGGGATTGCCCAGTTCACTTTCACTGAAAATTAGGTTAAACTAGATATGGGCGCTTGTCCGATCAAATTGGGTCCTAAACCTATAATTTTTAGAATTCCCGAGTTTCGGAAATGTTAATAGTGGGCGCTTGAATGAAGTGAGCGCTTCCGCGGTATGTTACGGTAATCATTTTCGGTCGTTTCTGCTTTGACACGTCTGTTTGTGGAATAGATTCTGGTGGGTTTTTTGGTCACAGTTGAGAAAATGCTTGTTGTTACAGCTACCTGCTTTGCTTTCTTAACAGTTTCTTTGTGTTTTCCTACTGTTTTGAAGCGTAATTGTCATATCTGCCGAGGTTCCGTGTGACGCAACTGTCAAAGCCCATTCAAACACTTGCATTTGACTATGACCGACTTCGACATGTCCGGTTTTTAAGCCTTTTGTGACGGCTTATAGCCGGCTGCGCTGTTGTGGAGCCAGTCGTATTCCGTCACAAAAGGCTTAAATAACGGTTTTTAGCCTTTCTGGTCCTAAAAAGTCGCAAATGCGTGAACGGGCCTTCACACTCTGGTGTTTAGTGGGTTTTAAAATTGGTCCAGTAGGTGTGTGGCGGATTTTGAAAACAAAAAAAGTACTCAGATTTCGATTAAGAAGGAACTCCACTGAATGTTTCTCCATCTGTTGCATTCTTTCTTGATCCAAGCATAATTCTTATGCTCTCTCACCTCCGTCAATTTTTTTTTTTTAATTGCTCGATTGTGTGTGAGATACACTTCAAAAAAAAAAAGCATTGCACGCAAGAAAAAAAATTGCCTCTTCTTTTATTGAAAAATATGGAACGAAAAGGAACCGAATCTTCTGATCTTCTTTATACGAGCTCCTCATAAGTTCTGAGCATCATTAATTGAGCAACTCAGCTGTGGAACTGCTCACGAATGCTGCTTCCACGTGCGGTAGCCCCTCCCCTCCCCCCTAACTCCCAAGGCCTAAGACTTATCGTTCAAAGCACCATGGTTCTGGAGACAGCTGCTACGCCAGCAATCTTCGACTTCGAGGAACATGCTTATTTCAAAGCACAGCATGTAGACGGTGCTTCAAACAACAGCAGTCATCCCCGGGGCAGTGAGGGGCAATTCGTCTTTCTCCGGGAGTTCCGCAACTGAGTTGACCTTTAGTCACTGACGGTATGAGAACGGCAGGGTGTCTCTTTCTCGTGGCTTTCCACGGTACTCTGGCTGCGCTTCCACGCTTGAAGTTTGGTGGGAAGCTCGCACTGGAGGTGAAACAAGTGAGAGATCTCCCCGTTGTTATCATTCTGTCGGTGAGCTTGGTGACAACGGTTGCGGCAGTGTTCCACCACGGTCCGCGATGATCCCTTCCAGCTATGGCATCCTGCTGTGGGAGCTGCTGACGGGGGAGACCCCTTACAAGGGGATCGACGCCCTTGCGGTGGCCTATGGTGTGGCGGTCAACAAGCTCACTCTTCCGATTCCGTCGACGTGCCCCACGCCCTTCTCGAACCTCATGAAAGGTGGGTTGTCCACGGGAGACTGAAATCACTGGCTGCGTCTCTTCAGCTGCTGACTGCTGACTGTGATCCATATTTGCTCCTTTCGATCACCTACCGTAGTGCGTAGATCGTTCCAGTCGCCGCCTTCTGCGCGCCAACTTCTTTGTCTGCCGGACAGTGGAGCAGGTTTTGAGTGTGTGCGGTAGTTCTGGTCTGCGGAGGTGCCGTGCTTGTGTTCACAGCCCACACATACGATGATGAAACTGCCTTGTCACATGCCTATATGTAATATATATACAACAATGGTAACAAGTGAGCCATCAATACTATAAGTATAACAATGTTAAAGACTGTGTTGTACGGTATTTGCTCTTTGTGCCACTCGCAACACACTGTATTGATTGATTGATTGATTGATTGGTTAAACTTGTCTGAGTGAAAAATTGTGTTTTGAATATGCTTTTTGTGCCACGTGCAACAAGTTGGATTGATTGATCGATATGATTTATAAATGTAATCGTCAATCAAAGGACCTGGTTGTGAATTTGCTCTTTGTGCCATGTGTGGGGTTCTGGATAGATTGATTGATTAATAAGCTTAATCAGTCAATCAAAGGACGTGGTTATGAATTTGCTCTCCATGTAGGGTGCTGGATTGATTGATTTATAAGTCTAATCAATAAATCAAAGGACCGAGTTCTGAATTTGCTCTTCGTGCCATGTGCAGAGTGCTGGATTGAGTGACTGATTTATAAGCCTTGTCAGTCAATCAAAGGACCTGGTTGTGAATTTGCTCTCCATGCAGGGTGCTGGATTGATCTTGATTGATTTATAAGTATAATCAATAAATCGAAGGACCCGGTTGTGAATTTGCTCTCCATGCCACGTGCAGGGTGCTAGATGCATTTATTTATTTATTTATTTATTTATTTATTCATGGTGCCTCAAAGGCCCAATTAAGGGCATTACATGAGGGGGGGGGGTACATTCAGGTAAGTATCAATCAGAACAAAAGAATAAAAACAAAGTCAATAAAAATTTAAAAAAAAATCAAAACACACACGCTCTGAGGAAAAAGAAAATCTTGGATTACAGGGAAAGAAAGCAAATGCAAAGCGAAAGTATGTAGATAAAAGAAAACGGATTTGAAAATGAAATTGTAATGCTAGCATGCGCGACAAGAACCCAAAAAGCAATGATTCAAACTAAATGATTACAAATGATAACAAAGACAATACAAAAAATGCACTTTGACGCAAAAATGACTGAGTAAAAAAGGCAACAGAACAACAAAACAGTGAAATTCAGGATGCAGTGGGGGATCATGGGGGAAAAAAATGATTGGATAGGGCATTGCGAAACATTTTTTTATCAGATATGTTGATGATGGCTTTGGGAAGACCGTTCCTGTTCTTGATTGCGTTAGGAAGTGCCGAGTTATTAAATGCGGTTTTGGAGCCAAAGATGCGTTTGAAGCCTTTGCTATTATTTTGACGATGAGATACTCTATTCGGTGGTTCTACAAGCAATGAGCCTGGTTGACCGGGATTAAAATGCAGCCGATGTAGCAGACAAAGTAGTGAGATTAGGCGGCGAGTTTCGAGGGGGTGAATAGAGTTGTGCTGTTTAATGAGCGAGACGCTAACAAATCGAGAATAAGAAGATGATATAAACCGAGCGGCACGGTTTTGGACAGATTCTAGTTGATTAATTAGATGCTTCTGATGGGGGTTCCAAATAGGCGAGGCATATTCGAGTTTAGGGCGAACGTAAGTATTATAAGCTAGATGACGTAAATGGGTGGGTGTGGCCTTTAAGTTTCGTTTCAAGTAGCCAAGAGTGCGTGAGGAGTCAGCGGAAATTGTGTTAATATGAGTGATCCAGGAGAGATTAGAGGTAAGATGTACACCGAGGTGCTTGTAAGAAAGGACGGAGGGGTGGGGAACATTATTTAAGAAATATATGAAAGACGAGACTGAACGCTTTCTAGTGAAAGAAAGCAGATTACATTTAGAGATGTTAAGTTGCATTTGCCATGTGGTACACCAGTCAAAAATTATATTAATATCATTCTGAAGGACATGGTCATTTGAATTGTTAATGTTTCTGTACAACACACAGTCGTCGGCAAAAACTCGTATGGTAGATGAAACAGTGGTTGGAAGATCGTTAATATAGATAAGGAAAAGAAAGGGCCCGAGAACTGTGCCCTGTGGGACTCCAGAGGTCACATCAGTAGTGCAAGATCGAAAATCACCTGTTACGGTAAATTGTTGTCTATTGGTTAAAAGGTTACGGATCCATGAAAGTGTTAGCGAATCTGAATTAAGAGCGGAGAGTTTGGATATTAGGCGACAGTGGGGAACGCAATCAGATGCCTTTGAGAAATCTAAGAAGATAGTGTCGGTTTGAGAGCCAGAGTCCGTATTGGTGTGAATGTCATGGGTGAATGTCATGGGTGAATGTCATGGGTGAATGTCATGGGTGAATGTCATGGGTGGGTGACACGAGTATCCTTTGCGAAATCCATACTGATATTTATAAAAAAAGTTGTTATTTTCAAGATGGGACACGGAATGGGAGAATACTATGTGCTCTAACAATTTTGACACTACACTGGTTAGGAATATGGGGCAACAGTTAAATACGGACGATTTTGAGCCAGATTTAAAAATAGGAACGATCTTCCCAAGTTTCCAGTCGGTGGGAATGCAACAAGATGACAATGACTGTTGAAACAATATTCACAGTATGTCGGATGAAATGGCACTGGTGTTTTTTAAGGTCTTTGAACATATGTTGTCGGCACCCGATGACGCAAAGATATCAAGGTTATTTATTAGTTTATTGATGCCGAGACCTGTGATTACAATGGGGGACATGTATGAATAATCAAGATCAGTTACAGATGGAATGTTGGATTGGTCTTTCCTAGTAAATATAGATGTGAAGAATTCGTTAAAGACTGTAGGACAGAGGGCATCACGCACTGGCTTCCCCGCTTCATCTGATAAGGTTATTGATGATTGAAATTCCTGTGGTGATATTACTTTCCAAAATTTTTTGGAATTATTTGTTAGAAGAAAGGGCAAGTCGCAACCAAAGTACTTTTGCTTAGCTAGGGCAATGGAAGAATTGTATTCGCTTTCACATTGAGCATACTTTACCCAGGCCATGGGAGCATTGCAATTTTTGGCAAGGCGATAGAGTCTTTTCTTTTTATTGCCTAATGCCTTTATCGTTTTGTTAAACCATGGTTGATTACTGTTAGAGCGAATGTGAACTAGTGGAACAAAATTATCAGCGAGTCGAGATAGTTTAGTTTTAAAAAGGCGCCAATTTTCCTCAACTGTTCTAGTATTAAAGCCATCAACGTAAAATTCATAAAAAAGGGAAAGAGCATCGTTTATTGAAGCAAAGTTGGCTTTATTATAGTCACGGATTATCTTGGTCGTGACCTGTTTTCTTTCGGTATGAACGGTGATGTCAATGTTTTTTAGTTTGTGGTCACTGAACCCACTATGAAAACATACCGATGTAACGAATTCGGGAGTAGATGTAAGGACTAAATCCAAAATGTTATCCCCATGTGTGCGATTATTTATTATTTGTTCGAAGTCGAAGTTTTGGCAGACGTCCAAAAAGTTTCTTTCCTTTCCATCCTGTGAAGTAAGTGTGGACCAATCTATTAATGGGAAGTTAAAGTTGCCAAATAAAAATATGTTTGCATTTGGGAAATCTTTTGCGTATGGAATAAAGTTGGTCATGAAAAATATTAATGAGCTCGGAAGTACTGTGGGGAGGGCGATAGCAAACGCCCAGGATATTCTTTTGGAACGAGGAATAAAAACCAATCCAAGCTGTTTCAATATCGCCATCAATTGGAATGACGTATGATGGAATTTCTTTTTTGACTGCGATCATGACACCACCTCCTCTTTCGTTTATTCTATCGCGACGGTAAAAGTTAAAGCTAGAACTGTTAGTCAGGACTTCTTTATTTTGAATCTCTGGTTTTAGCCATGTCTCCGTAAGGATGACAACATCAGAGTCATTATCGCAAAGGAACAATGATAATATTTTTAAGTCTAATCAGTCAATCAAAGGACATGGTTGTGAATTAGCTCTGTGCCATGTGCAGGGTACTCGGTAGATTGATTGATTGATTTATAAGTCTAATCAGTCAGTCAATGGTCCTGGTTGTGAATTTTCCCTCCGTGCAGGGTGCTGGAGCTCCGACCCTCACGAGCGACCCAGCTTTGTGGATATCCTGCGTGAGCTGGACAAGATCACCAAGTCGCCATTCATGAGCACACCCCAGGAGTCATTCCACACCCTCCAGGAGGACTGGAAGCACGAGATCGAGACCATGTTCCTTGAGCTCAGGTGCAGGGAGAAGGTGAGGATTGGCTCTCGACGGCACCTTATGGAATACGCACTTGCACATCCACACATCATTGGTCTGTTCACTGTCCCATACCACCCATGCATCGAAAGCAGTCCCAAAGTGCTGACAAATTGTGTCACAAAGGCCAATGTGACATGCCATTGGGCGGCGCAATCCTGGCTGTCGGTCGTAGAAATGTCGGCAAAAAAAGCAAGCAGGTGCAAGGGTCGCTTTAGCTGCGGCATCCCAACTCAAGGCTGATGAAGTTTCCATTGACTGCCGAGCAAGAGAGCGGACTGCAGCAGAACAGGCACCTGCCGCGGCCATCTCCGCTACTGTTCTGCCCCAGGGTCGTGGCAAGCAAGAGTGTGACATTTTCATCACGTCATCGGTTGAAAATCGAGGGACCACTTTTGAGGACACGGTCAATTAACATTGTCGGTTGAAGACACATGCTCCAGGCACCATACTTTGTCTAGACCAACGTGCCGTTTACAGACAAGTGCGTGTTTGCCCACACCAGGCATTGGCACCGCATATAAGCAGAAAGTGTATTTTTTTTGCCAAGGGAAGTCTGCGAATGCTCCACATCGACGGCAGTGCCACCGCGGTGGCGTGACATTGGAGTGGCGTTTTGGCGCGTATGCTCGGGATTTGGACAGGACAAAAGGCAGCCATCATTTCCATTGATTGTTTGCTTCTCAATAACTGAGGAACTAAGACTTTGTTCTTTCTTGGTTCCCAATGGGACGTGTCCTGGTGAAATGATGAGAGCTCGGCACTTCTTGGGGCTGAGAATGCGGTGACGTCGGTGCGCTGAGCTCTGATTGGAAGGATGTTGGCTGGACGCAAAGGCTAACTGCCTTTGTCTCTACCCTCCCTGTGTTACTCCAATTCGAGCGAGCAGTGCCGTTCTTCGTTCTAATGCAGAGGGGGCAGTGGTATCAGGGTACGGTGTTTGAACGCCGAATGCCGGTGGCATCTGCTAGTCGAAGCAACGGCCGTCTGACATTTCCCACGACTTTCGGAAACCTTCCTTTTCCTTAGGAACGGAGACTTGCTCGAGACAAAAGGGGAGAGGAAATACGTCAAAACATACATTGTTTTTGTCGACTTGAAGCACTAGACGCGTCGACGAGGAAATTACGGCCAAGGTGTCATCTGCTCCGGATCCAGAAGCAGGTGTGGGGGAGGAGCTTCATTGCACACGTGACAACTCCCTCTCACCGTGCCTCTTCTCCCCCTCCTCCTTCAGTTTTGCTCTGTACAGTCCCTTTCCGAAACGTTCCTGATCCCGCTCTCGCCTCCTTCTCGCCAGGAGATCCGCTGCCGCGAGGAGGAGCTGCGCCGGGCGTTTGTCCAGCAGAAGCTCCAGGAAGAGTTCCTGAGGCAGCGGGAGCAGGAGCTTGCGGAGCGGGAGATCGACCTGCTGGAACGAGAGCTCAACGTCATGATCCTGGCCCAGCAGAAGGAGCAGCCGGCGCCGGCACCCAGGAAGAGGGGTGGACACTTCCGCAAGTCGAGGCTCAAGCTCCTCAAGTCGGGGGCGCAGATCAGCATGCCTTCCGGTGAGCGGACGCCCAGCCGCTATCCGCCGGCTCGCATCCCGCCTGCCGGGAGGCGCGGGTCGGATTTGATTGGATCATGTCGGCTGAGCGCTTTTTGTCGGGCCCACGGTTTCAAAAAATCCGTTGAGCTAAAATTATGCGACGACTCTCGCACATGTTGTTTGGGGCAGTTTGTTGGCAGAGTGTGCGGGGATATTCCTGCCGAATGCTGACATACCAAGTCTCATAAAACGAAAGAGGAAGATAACATTTAAAAGCAGTGGCATACTGTCATTCCTGAGTTGCCTCATAAAATAAAGAATTTTTTTTTTTTTTTTATGTGGTAATGTAATAAATAAAATTAATTAACATTGGAGAAAGCCCACAAGCAAGTCTAGACTTGTAAATGTAAAAATGTTTTTTTTGGGAAGTTAACATTGTTTTGTGTGTTGCCCCCTTTTTCGTCCATTGTCTTCGGTTTTTCAAAAATGTGTAGCATCAACCAGCTCGCCTGCCTACTCACTCTATCCTTAAGCTTTGTCGTTGGTCACTTGATGCTGTCATATGTTTCGTTTCTTACGTTGCTTTACCGGTGTAGACCCTCTTGGGGGCCTCTGAGCTGCTCACAGACCTCCAAGAAAAATAAACAATCGACCGATCAGCGAGATTTTACCACTTAATGTCACAAAAGGCTGTTGTGATGGTGGTCAGGTGATAGGTTTAAAAGTGTTTTCACGCGCATTTTAAAGATCAATAAAAACTCTGAGGCTCAAATGTATTATGGATCACTGCCCCAATGTTCGAGCTCAAAATCAACTGGAAAAATTGCTCGTTGACACATATTAGGGACGACTGCCGCACGCCCGAGCTCTAGTGGGATGCCTAGGGCAGTGGTAAATGGTGCATTGCAATGAACAAACCAGTTGTGTCCGTTGTCCACCATTGACATCGCCACTAGGACGTCGGGGTACGGTTCCTTGCATAACTTACCGGAGTCACTCTGCATGCTTTAGCCGTCCCTTTTCGCAACCGGCTGATTTGCGATGCTCGTGATTGGTTGCAGACTTCCGGCACAACATCACGGTGCAGCACACCCCAACGCACGGCGGGGAACTGAAGGCCCTACGGATGCCCTCGAGCCCCGAGAGCCCTCCTGCTTCGCCCAATCTGCCCCGGCTGAGGGCCTACGCCCGTGAGTTTTAAGACCGCTCGGCAAATCAACCAATCACTGGAATAATCTGTGTCAACCTGTCACTCAATTGACTTACCGATCCACATTTGATTAGCCCTACAGGCAGGTTGTATCTTGCCGTCTAAAAATTTGCAATTAAACCATTTTTTTTTTTTTGCATTTTAGAGGGCAACTTTGGCCAAAACTCAAGATGAAATAAATTACTGGTATCGCTGTAGTGACACAAAATACGACCCCAGTCAAAATATTACGACCGTGGGACGCCAAATTCTCAACTAATGCCGATAAAAAAAATGCGACCCGCTGTGAGCCGCTGCTCCTTAGCGGGCGGCCAGTGGGTTCCCGGTCGCTAAAACAACCTTGGTCCGCGACGTTAGTATCGTTCTCTTTTTTCTCCGGTCCGGGCGTTGCGCGGAGTGCGCTTCTTTGAGCCGCTACCACCGCTACTTCGGCTTGTAATTGGCATGTTTACCCGTTGCTTTTATCTGTAGCCCGTGTAGCTTCGGTATAGCCTTTTGCTTATTTGCTTTTGAGGACTCCAAGACTCTTTTTAGCGAGCAACTTGGTGCGCCCAAGGCTGCCCAGCTGTTCCTGGAAAGGTGCCGACTGCAACTTGTAGCGCTGTGGGCGGCTTAAACAATCCGCCACGCAACACGGAGGTGCTTTTTCACAAGTTTCCAACCCACTGGAAATTAGAGAAGGTGTGGGTGAACGCTGTTCAATGAGTGGACTTTGGTCTTCGGCTTTTACGCGCCCAAGGAAAAAACAATGAAAAAAAAGACGTGTACAGCCCAGCACACGTGTGTTCGGGCGCCGCGGCCCGCGCCGGAGAGCCTTAAAGCTTCGTGTCTGGGACTGACCTGCAGCGCGAAAGCGAGAGGGCCCCCAGTACTCTACGTCACTGGCAGCGCGGCGTAGAGCAACGCCGCTTCATCCACGGAGCCCCGATGACAATTTAGGCCTAGCGACGAGTACGGAAGACTGCACACACGGCGACTGCCGCGGAGTACGGCACCGAACAAGTTCACTCGTTTTCCAGTCGCTAGCTTTTGGGTATACGCACTAACTATTGCTACATATGCTGGATAACTACCACATATTCAGAATTAAAACAAAATCAGCTTACCTCCTATCTTTAGACGGTTAACGCAACAGAGGTAGGCGCCACTCGGCCTGCATACTTGTTGAACGAGAACGATCCTGACGTCACATTCACATTGCGGCTGATTTCCAGTGTTGCCGGGGTCTCGAGCGGCTAATTTCGGTTTTGTTGGCCGCGCCCCAACCAAAACTTTGAGGCGTCGATGTCTTTAAAACTACGCACAATAACGAGAAAAAAATTACACCTTGCAATTCAGGGACGCTGTCTGCCTGCACTAAAAACAGTCCTAATCCCAAAATTGAAGGTATGGACCGGAGTTGCCTTTTAAGTTAGCTTTACATTGATTATTTTTTTTTTTTTCAAATACAGCAATTCTTTGTTATGAGAAAGTCAACAAGACGGCACAAAGATTCAATATAAGGTATAATTCAATAAAAGCGATAGAGCCAAAAAGACAGCACCAGCAGCCTTCCAGGTGAATGGGAACACCAAAGAACACTCTGACCTTATATTACAAACCTTGGTTATGAACTACAAACAACAGCTTCATCGAGTAAAAAAAAAAAAATTAAATGGAGTTTGCCGATAATTTTACCCGGGCATCAGTTCCCCTTGAATCGCTCCAGGCATCGCAAGAACACCCTCACCGCCGCTGCACTCCACTTTGTTTCAAAGCAGCCATAGGATGTGTCGTGTCTCCGCAGTCGTCGGCATTTCCTGAAGTGCCTTTCTGACGTCGCTTCGTGTTTACCCTGGCCGCACGGAAACGTTACGATCGCAGCATCCGTGGCAGGAGCAACAATGGGAACGTCCGCATCGACGAGCGCGAATGAATCAGTTATCCTCGGTGGCTTCGCCGACATGTTTTCACACACTTTTGTAGAGACCGTTGCAGCTTGGGGAATCGTGTGCCGGCTTTTTAAGCATGCTCGTGAGAGAAAATCGGACATGCGCAAAGCAGTCGGCGATCTTTCACCTTTGGGTCGCAGGCGCGCTTTTTCTTGCGCGAGAAACTTCTCGAACCCATCCAGTATGTCTAGCTTGTTCCGTAAAACGGTTGACAGTGTCGAACAGCCGACGTAGGGACGTTGAATTCTTCGGCGATTTCAGATTTGGGCCGGCCACTTTTCTCAACCTCGCAGATCTAAGCGATTTTCGGTAAACACTCCCACTCTCATGCGACGCGCGTGTTCATGTCGCGTGTGGTACGCTGCAAACGCACTCGTGCAGGCGCATGCGTCGGGGGATCTTGAAGGGATAATCTCCTCCGGACTTCACCGCTTACTTGACACGATTCCGACAGGAGCCGGGTAGCGTCGACCGGATGCGCCATGAGTAGCGTCGGAACGTGGACGCTGCTCTTGCTGCTGCTACCTGCCCGTGTTGGCGCATCGACATCGGAAGCGGCGCTCTTCCCTCTGTCACCCATTTGTTCCGTTTACTTGTTTGCCATTTTCCCAGTTTGCCATTAACCTCTGTGAAGAAGGGGGACGGAACGCAAAAAACTCCCTGCGTCTCTGTGTAGGTTTCTATGCTTTCGGCACCTCAGCCTTCATAATAAGCGTGGTTTGCCACCGATACGCTTTGAATAATCCAATTCAAAATGCATACATTTCGGCCGGGACCACGTTAAACTTTGATTAAAGCGATATTTTGAAAAAAGTGTTTTCGTTGTAACGAGGGATTACTGTGCAAAAAAATGCACAAGAGTTGTTCGGACCCAAGCTACAGGGGTTAGTGTCGGGTCCAATTGCAAAATAAGTTTTACAGTGCAACACGTGTGTAAAAAAATTGCAAAACGAAATGCTAGATTTTGGTATGGGATGGTATAGGCCCGGTCACGCACTTGCAAACGAGTAGGACCGACAGAGACAAGACCGGTTTTTAAGCCTCTTGCGAGGGTGTAGGACCGGATGCGCGGCTGCGGAGCAGGTCCTATGTCGTCGCAAGAGGCTTAAAAACTGGTCTTGTCTCTGTCCGTCCTACTCGGTTGCAAGCGTGTGAACGGAGCTTATGTACTATTTAATGCATTTCTGAATAAATCCCTCTTTTTGGAAGTTTTTCTCCTTTTTTTTCCGAATTTTTTTTTTTGGGGGGGGGGGGATATTTTTTGTGAGGATTTGGTGTTTTCTGTGTAAATTGGTTATACTAACTTATCCAGTCTACACAAAAAAATACTGAACCTGTGTGAAAAAATACCCCTCCCCCCCCCCCCCCGCAAAAAAAAACAACCCAATTTGAAGAAAAAATACAAAAGAAAAACACAATTTACAATTTTTTTATGCGATTGCTAAGTATTTTTTACGCTATTAATTACACTTAAAACTGATATTGGTCGATAACTAGACGGTGCAGTGGAGTCCCCATCCTTGAAGATTGGCACCACTTTAGATATCTTAAGTTCGTCTGGATATCTTGTTTCTAGCGAATGCTTGAAAAGATGAAGGTGAATGCTATAATATTTTTTTTTAATAATTTAATCAGAATTTTGTTGAGTCCAGCTGCTTTACTTACTTGTAAGTTTAAAGCTACGTCGCGAACATCTCAAGGCGTATTTCGTCTTTTAACAGTTGCTCTTAATGCATCTGTAAGAGCAGGGCACTTGGAATGAAAAACGTGTTTGTGCTAAGAGTGCCAGTGTCTGCACCAGCTTTAACTGGTGGAGAAAAGCGTAGCACATTGCAGACGAGTCCAGAGCGGTGTACTTCGACTATGTACTTTAAGATAGCCTGCACTTGTATGTCGAACTCATACGCACATGCGTGGGTATGTGTGCACTTTCCGCTCATCATTCATTGCATTTAACTTCTAGACTTGCGGTGTGTACATTTTCATTTTATCCAGTGACCCTTCAAAAAAACACTGACACCCTCCCCCCCCCCCCCCCCCCCCCCCCCCCCCCCCTCAAAGCAATTTTTTGAGACTTATTTTGCCAGGCGATTTATTACGCTGACCAAGCATTTCCCAATCAATATTTTGCTACAGTGTCGCATATACTTTTAATAAAGTAAAGAAATGCAACTGCTAGAAACCTAACCTGGACTGGGGAGGAAGAGGAAAGAGTTGCCAAAAATCACAAGGCCGTGCAACTTTTTTTTTTTTTTTTTTTTTTCGATCAGCATATTTCTAGTTTTTTTTAGAGGCCACAAAAAACTGGTATCATATTTTTTTTTTCTATTTTTAATATTCAGTGTGCACCTTTGATGACCCACAACTTTGATTATTTTTGATGTGTGCGTCTAAACCATGGAGACCGGCACATGACCACGGAGAAGAGAGTGAGCGCAACTCGTACCGGCCAGTTCTCGATCGGCGGTTTTCGGGAGGAAAGAAAACGAATTTCGAGCCGCAAATTGTGTTCCGGGTAGTTGGGCTCTCGTGTGTCACACACAAATAAAAACCCCGGCGAGCATAAATGCCCTGTCGGCGTCCCTTTAAAGTCTTTGATGAATGACTCTAGCACTTTAGTTTCGAGGTGCAGACGTCTGCAGCTGACGTGGGTGCTTTCGTGCAGTGCCGGCGGACGGGGCGAAGGGGAAGACCTGGGGTCCGAGCTCAGTGCATCAGCGAGAGCGCCAGAGTCCCCGCGCCCGCAAACACCTGCTCGTGGATGCCAACAAGCGCTGGTCCCGGTCGGCCCCCAACCTGCCCCGCAACCTGGCCGCCATGTTCCCCCCGGACGGAGATGCAGGCAACTCCCTCGACGCCGGCCTGGCGAGCACCAACGGCTACGGTGAGGCACCACTTTATAAAGCTCAGAGTCCGATTTTTTGGGGGGTTTTCGGCGCCTGCTAAAGCGACGGGGGCATTTCCAGTCTTGGGTAGTAACGCGTTACTAGTAACGCGTTACTGTAACTTCGTTACTTTTTTGGTAACTTGTAACTGTAACGAGTTCCTTTTTAAAAATGTAACTTGTAACTGTAGTTCTATTACTTTTAATGAGGTAACGATGAAAGTAATGACGTTACTTTTGTCGTTACTTTCCAGTTTTTTTTTGTTTTTTTTTAATAATATAGCACTGAACGAGTACAATTTAGCTATTCTTGGCGCTTTCCAAATTGTCTGTTCCGACATTTTGAGTGTCAAGTTATTTTTTGCACAAACATTCTTTCTCGCCAGTCAAGACCCGAATATAGCCACGTGTAGATTTGGTGAAAAAAAAAATGTGGTTAACTTTAGCATGCGCTTATACTTTGTCACTGAACACTTGCATCTTAGTATCTTGAAGAACTATCTCTTTTGCGGTTTTTCTTTTTTCTGCGCAGGCGCTTTTTAATCGGGTGAATCAAACGTGAAACAACAATACACGCGGAGGGCACTGCGTATCTTTTGTATTTTGATTAGCGCCACCACTCCGCATGTTTCGTATTTTGATTGGCCCCACTACTCTGGTGTAGTATCAACAGTCGAGGCAAAATTTACTGCTGTTGGCGCGGGGTTTGTTTCTGGCTTGCGGGGTACGAACTGAATAATGTTCAGGGACTCTATAAACCCAGGGCAACCGCCAACAAGCCAGCAATGTGCTAGTGCTACCAAGGATATGAATGTTGATAAGAACAAAGAAGAACTACTATGGCCGGTGTACAGAGCATTTTGCTGTGGTGGAGGTGGTTACGAACAACTTGACCGCAGAAAATGACACTCTGCAGCATGCCTCAACGCCTACCTGGCAGTCAAACACCTGTTCCGGCGACACAAGACAGCAATCCCATCCAGCGCGTTAGATGACCGCCTGTTCAACAAGGGCAGGGGCGTGTTCGTTATCAAACCAGGGAAACTTTCAGAAACTAATTTCGAGAAGCATGTGCTGCTGAGTTACAATATGAAGTAAAAGGCACACTTTTTAATTTTATGCAAATAAACTTGGTGAAAAGCGTTTCCTAGTTTTTTCTATGTTTTGTGTTATAAAAAGTAACTAAAAAGTAACGTCGTTACTTTTTAAAAGTAACTGTAACTGTAACGAGTTACTTTTTTGTTGCGGTAACTGTAACGGTAACTTTGCTACATTTTTCTGAAAGTAACTGTAACTGTAAAGAATTACTTTTTAAAAGTAACTTACCCAAGACTGGGCATTTCGCACACTCCCGGCAAACAGTCGGGGAGTAATTTCGACCAGCTGGGGATCTTTAGGGCCGGTTCACATGTGGGTTGCGGCGCTTGATTAGCATTAGGAAGAGTGCTCATGCAGCGCCGACTTGACCCTTACAGCACTGTATCACCAAGGTAGTGCATATTCAGCTTGGTGATAGCGCTGAATTTGTGTCAACACAATTTCCAGTGCCAACAGTTCATACTGCAGTGCGGTGCCGAAATGACAGAAAGTCGGTTGCTGCATCAGTGCTACTGTCAGTGCTGGCTTGGCACTGATTTACTGCTGTATTTCGTGTGTAAACACTAAAGGGAGGGTGCAGGGGCTCCGGAAGTATATCTAATGTGTGGGGGCGACGTCTGGGGGTTCATGTCGCATCGTGCAATTCACCCCTCTCTTTTCACACATATATATACGTATATATATCAAAGACCACTGACGAAGCGCAGTGCAGGGAAATGAAGGCTGCAGTCTGATCGAATCTTCGGAGATTTATTAGTGAGAGCGCACATATTGGACAAACAATGATTGACAACTTCAAAGGAACGGGTTAACAAGACTTCCAAAAAAAGAATACATGTCACCAACTACTGATATATGCATACATACAGACAAGCATATTATATACACATCATATAAAGGGGAAGGGGGGGGGGGGGCGGCTTGGAACAGCTTTGAGAGTGGGGGCATGCCTTCACTCTGTTTAGAACGTGTGGGGGCCAATGCCCCCACTGCCCTCCCCCCCTCCCCCCTCCCGCTCCTGGAGCCCCTGGGAGGGTGTTACGTGCAGTAAATTGCCGATACAGCACTAATATAGCACACGGCAGAGCATTGTCTATAGCGCCGAGTTACCGCTAGGGTGTACTTGTGAGCAGGTTTTTATAGTGCCGAGGTAGCACCATGGTGTATGTGTGAACAGGCTTTAAAAAAAATGACTGACTCCATTTCGAACAGGGGTTTAAAGACGGGAGCAGAAAGCATCACATCGTAGGCGCTGACATCGGTGGTCCCCAGAGAAAGAAAGCGACTGAAAAACGGAAAAAAGAAAGCAGACAATAGGTTGGGCGTGTTCGTTTTGCCTCCACGAGTCGAAGTCTCCCGAGTGCTTGTTGCCTTTATTTTATTACAACGGAGCTGTTAAGGGCTAGGTTCCCCAGGATCATGTCCAGTACCAAAGAAATGTCGACACAAACCTACATGAACCTCTGGATAGCTACCGCCATCAATAAGCGACGGCGGCAACCAGTCTGGTTGCCGCCGTCGCTCGTAGATGGTGGCAACCTTTCCAGCTATCATAGAAGAATGGATAGTTGGGCCAGTTGGTGGGAATTCATCGTAGGAAACAGCGCGAAAAACAGACGAGGATGAAGAAGGCACACATGTGACGAGTGCAGCGCATGTCACGTGTGTTTCTTCTTCGTCCTCGTCTGTTTTGCGCACTGTTTCCTATGCTCTTGTCAGTTTCGGTTTGGACTCGCGATGCGTCGGCCGCGTGCCCTTTCTTTGGTGAAAGAAGACCGGGTGCAGAAAGAGCGGCGATGTACGCAGCAGCACGAATGGGTCTGCAACCGCCACGTGCGTTGAGCGCTTCAGGTTCCTTTTCGAAATAAGAGCAGAATGCTCGCCTGGGAACCCACCGCCGATAACAGAAGCTACAGCTCCGCTGCTCTTCCTTCTTCAACAGAGTTGAAAAGGTTGAAAGTTTTTTTGTACAATGCACGACGCTGGTGCTTTTGGGCAAATTAGAGGTGGAAGAAACTAAATACAGACCCCGAAAGTGACATTTTCCTGCTTTTTTGCATATGTCAAAGTGTCACCGGCAATAATAGTGTCCTGTTGGCACCACCGAGGACCAAGACTATCTCCCACAGTTGCGAAGCTGCTGAAGTACACGGAACCTTTCCCTCTATAATTGCTGGCAGAGTGAGAACGGCAAAATGTGTCTTTCGAGCGTACGGCCTCCAGCTCATGCTCCACGCCTTCCACCGTAATTTGGTTGCGCGCTCGGGGTGCATGAGACATTGAAGCGTTGTTCAAGGTAGGAAGTTTGCGCCGGAGGTTGGACGACTGAAGCTTGTCCTCGCCGTTCTCACCTTGTCGGTGACCGTCGGAAGAGCACTGATGCAGCACTGACTTGAGCATAACTTAGCAGTCTTCTACTGCCGCCGTATCACCGAGAGAGCAAGAATTCAACATTGCATCAGCAGGGTCAGCACAATTTCTAGTGGCGGTTAATAGTGCTTGGGTAGTGCCATGGTATATGTATGAACAGGCCTCTCTATTGCTGAGATATCACTGTAGCGGATGTGTGAACAGGTCTTTATAGCACTGGGTGCTGTGTTGTAGTTGTGAACAGGCCTTTGTAGTGCAGAGGTGGTGCTGTAGTGTGGGTGTGAGCAGGCCTTTATAGTGCTGAGGTAGTGCTGTGGCATAGGTGTGAACAGGCCTCTATAGTGCTGAGATAGCACGTGGCAAATGTGTGAACAGGCCTTTATAGCACTGAGTTAGTGCTGTGGTGCAGGTGTGAACAGGCCTTTATTGTGCTTAGAAAGTGCTGGAGTGTAGGTGTGAACAGACCTTTGTAGTGCTGAAGTTGTGCTGTAGTGTAGGTATGAGCAAGCCTTTATAGTGCTGTTATGTAGGTATGAACAGGCCTTTCTCGTGCTGAGGTAGCACTGGCAAATGTGTGAACAGGCCTTTATTTGCGACTCCAGCGACCTATAGGGGACGCCACTATTGGCCAAATATGGCGGTCGAATCCAGCTCGTGCCGTGCCTTGTGCCAGCTCAAGGCACAACGTTGGGGCACCAGCAAGTAAGCATTGGACTCAAAATTCGTTCCCCCGTGTTTTATCTTGCACGTTTCGAACCTGCGGCCATGTGGGGTGAGCGAACTTCCAGAGGCTTGACTTTCTTCGAGGAAACGAGGAAAGGACTGCCCACGGTCCTTCCACGGTGCTGATGAACGTTGATAAAAGCAGAATGTCTGACTCACGCGGTTACATACGTCGCGTGCAGAGCAGGTCACAAGACGATGCTACGGTTACGACATAGTCACCGGTAGAACTGTTCTGTCGCGCAAACCACCGACAACATGGAAACACGAAAGCCAGAAGAGACGAGCAGAAATCGCGAAAAGGACCTGTTCCGGCCAGTTCAGTGTTTTTCCGCTAGGTGCCGTTCGTTTTGCTGGAGTCGTGAATAGCACCGAGTGAGTGCTGTAATATAAGTGTGAACGAGCTTATGTAGTGTTAAGGTAGTGCTGTGAATCAGGTATGAACAGGCTTTTACAGCACTGAGTTATTGCAGCATTTTAGGTGTGAACAGGCCTTTATAGGGCTGAGTCAGTGCCGTGGTATAGGTGTGAACAGGCTTTCATAGTGCTGAGTCAGTGCTGTACGTTAGGTATGAGCAGGCCTTTACTCTAATATAGGCCATTCTATTGTTGAGGTAGCACTGAGTTAGTTCTGTGGTGTAGGTGTGAACAGTCCTTTATAGTTCTGAGGCTGTAGTGAAAGTGTGAATTGGCCTTTATAGTGCTGAGGTAGGGCTGTGATATAGGTGTGAACAGGCTTTTACATTGCTGAGGCAGTACTGTGGTATATATGTGAACAGGCCTTTATAGTGCTGAGGTAGCAGTGCAGTGTAGGCGTGAACAGGCCTTTATAGTGCTGAGGTAGCACTGTGACAAATATGTGAACATGCCTTTCTTGCACTGAGTTAGTGCTCTGGTATAGGCGTGAACAGGCCTTTATGGTGCTGAGGTAGAGCTGCAATGTAGGTGTGAACAAACCTTTGTAGTGCTGTAGTGTAGGCATGAGCGGGTCCTTATAGTGCTGTAATGTAGATGTGAACAGACCTTTTTCGCACTGAGGTGGCACTGGCAAATGTGTGAATGGGCCTTTATAGCACTGAGTTAGTGCTGTAATGTAAGTGTGAACAGTGCTTTATAGTGATGAGGCTGTGGTGTAGGTGTGAACAGGTCTTTATAGTGCTGAGGTAGTGCTTTGATGGAGGTGTGAACAGGCTTTTACACTCCTGAGGTAGTACTGTGGTATATATGTGAACAGGCCTTTATAGTGCTGTGGTGTATGTGCAAAAGGGGCTTTAAAAGAGACGATGGACTCTGTTTCAAAGGAAGGGTCGCTTCCTCATCTCGGTGCCCGTGTGCTCGGCAGGGTATGGCGGCTCGGAGCAGGCGTCGGGGGGCCGCAAGTCGTCGAGCCCCTCTGTGCGCCGGATCACGGAGCTGCTGCTGTTCAATGCCAGCGCACTGCTGGCCGGGGTCGGGGCGGGCTTCGATGTGCGGCTGGCCCAGACCAGGGCCCATCCACGGCTGCAGGAGGGCACGACGGGGGAGGAGTCCCAGGGCCCCCTTGGACCAATCGGCAGTGCCTGGGCCCGGGATTCCGGTGAGGGGGGGCAGGGACCTTGAGCGTGTGACACACTACGACCTGGCATGTATGCCTGACATGTGCACTCATGCCACGTGTTTTTGTAGCGTACGGCTTATTCTATTGTGACTTCCACGGCAATAGCCATTAATGGCGAGGTTTTGCAGCAGATTCCGTGTGTGTTTTGTGTGCGTACGTCGTGGCCCGATATATAATAATGGACTCTCGGTAATTCTGAATCACTTTAACCTTCGGGACTGGTTAATTCCAAGAATTTTTTATGTGCTTGAGAACTCCAGCAACTCTGGTGGCATGCAAAAGGCTCGCGATTATGCATCAAAGCTAAAATTCTTTTAGGCCGGTGGTGTAGCCTCTTTTCAGAAGCTCCCATTGCGATCTACTCTTGAAGATAGCCTCCAATGTGTTAGTAACCGATAGATACAAAGTTGCACGATAGGATAGAGGAAACGGCTACAGCGCGGGTAAGCTCTGCATTGACACAAGGGCTAACTGAGGCAGTATCAGGCAGGCTACCTTCTATTTGCCAAGCTTGTAAGCGAGAAGACGAAAAGAAGCGCATTTTGACGGCGCATACGTGGACAGTTAGCACGATTACGTCGCAAATCCCTTTCTACATCGCCTCTCAACGCTGGGATGTTCTCCCCGCAGGCTTCCCGCCGTACCCAATCTGTGCCGACTACGACTTCCCCGTCGGCTCGTCGGGCGGCTACTCCCACCACACCTACCATGGGCCGAGCCGCCCGCACGGCCGCCCCTGCCTGCCCCTCGAGTCCAGCCCCAGCCGCTGCCCCCTGACCCCCCAGCACCAGCCGTTTTCGCCCCGGCCCCGCAAGGCCTCCACCACCTCCAACGACTCTTCGAGCGACCAGGCGTATGCGAGTTCGGCCAGCTCGGGAATTGGGCCCTCCCCGCTGGGTGCGGGGCCGCTCTCCCCTCCAGACTACCTCTCGCCGTCATCGGGGGTGGCCACTAGCACGACGGGCGGCGAGACCGTGTACCACTCTTCGCCCTCCCACGTCTACCGGGACCCCCCCGCCTACCCTGGCTACTCGCGTGCCACGGGTGCGACGGGCGCCTACGCCTACGACAACCCATCAGCAGGGTACTACTCTCCGCAGCGGAGGGTGCCGCTGACCATTGCACCCGAAGTTCCTTCTCCCGCGAGCGTCAACCCGTCGTTTCAGGACGACGACCGGGCGTACGTGGGGTCGGCACCCGTGGCACCCTCGCCGCGGCGGTCTCGCCGGGACTACGAGAAGAGGCCGGCGACGCTGGAAGTTTCGCCGGCAAGGTGGTCGCCGCGCCCAACCCCAAAAGCGAGGTTCGGCGTAGCGCCGCCGCCGGCAGCGCCGTCGCCGCGGCAACAGCAACACGGCGGGCGGCGGAGATCGACATCGAGCAGCGCGGGCAGCACGCCGACCAACGCGACGCCGCCGAGCAGCGGCGCAAGCGGGGACGCGTGCTTCGTGTCCTCGAGCGGGCGGGTGAGGTTTACCGTCGGGGTGGGTTCAACGGCATCGGAACTGCAGCAGCAGCCCAGGGTGGCCAACAAGGCGGCGGGCACGAGCGACGAGGGAGGACACACGCTCCTGGACCTCCCGGCAGAAGGGCAAAGTCGGGACGAAACCGTGCCGCTGGCGGCGCGTGCCGCGGCGGCTGCAGCCGCTGCTGCCGCCGCGAGGCGTAGGCCGTCTATTCGGGAGCTTGAGGAGGAGTTCCTCTCGTTGTAGGGGTTGCCGCCACTGGTCTGTTTATGGGCGTTTTTTGTTTTGTTGCCGCCGCCGCTCACGTCTCGAAGCAATGGTCATTCGAAGGAGTGTCCAGAGCGAGGTTTCGACTTCGTGGGGGCCATGTTAAAACTGCAATTCAACGGGTTTCTATTTTTTGTTTTGTTAATATGGAGCGCAAGTTTATCTGCTTTTTGCACAAGGGTTGCGATGATGTCGGAACGCCGAACCCTTATTGGCTAATTGAAAAAAATTAGTGGGTAGGCGTCTAGCGTTGAGGTCTACCCACTATCCTTTCAATCAAAGCCAATCGGAGCTCGGCTTCGTTCTGACATCACCGCAACTCCTGCCCAAGAAGCAGACTGCTTGTTCTCCGCACACAGTGTAAAGGCTGGTTCACACTTGCAACTGCTTACAATCTGAGGTGCAAAAAACCGGATCTTAAGCCTCTTGAGGCTGCTTAGGACCATCTGTGCAGCGGTCTAGGCGGTCGTAAGAGGCTTAACACCTGTTTTTAGCCTCTTCGGTCTTACGCGGTCGCAATTGTCTGAACCACCCTCAAGTGCGAGTGAAGCCAATGCTACGAGTGCGAATATGTTGTCGTGAATGACGCTTTCACTTTACGAGTGCATGTGCGTAGCAGGCTTGCCGAAAGCGTTGTGTTCGCTCTTGTAGCCTCTCCTTTGCTCGCACATACGGTAAAACAGTATGGGTACCAGAAGTAACTTTTGTTGCACTGACCCCGTCACCGGGTATAGCGTGAAAAAAAAAAAAAAATTATACCGCAGCTCTATTCACGAACCCAAAACATCCCCTCGAAATCGCATTGTCGTAGGCGCCTTATTTGGTTTTTCGTGGCAAGATATGCCCTAGTGTGCCATCCTTTTTGTCTGTTTTAAACTTTCTTCTACAGAACCGCGTCGTTGAATTGCATTTGCAAGATAGCCACCACAAGATAGCGTTCTTGTGCCCACTCTAGAGTCAATTGACCGAGGCTTCGTCGTCCGATCAGAGGCGGCGGCATTAACTCGTGCGTTGTGGGCGTGCATATCGTGCGCGCACGGTACTTCTGGTGATGTATAGATAGCGTAAAATGTGAGCTTCTTTGTCGACGCATGCAAGACGTTCCGGATGAAGAAGAACGTTTGCCGAGGATGGTTTTGTGACAACTGCACGACGGGTCGAACCATCTCGACAGAGTCTTCGGGGCTGCGAGGTGTCCAAACATGTGTGGCAGAGATTGACAAACGACGCCAATGCACGACGGCGCCGTCTAGGTTTTATCGGGGGTTGTGTCTCGGTGGTACCATTTGGCAGCCTCAAACGATGGGAGTGGCAGCTAGCATTTGCGAGGCTGAAACTTGGGAGCGTAGTGCAATTTGTTTCAATGTGCCATTGCGTCTGCGTGCTCTAGGTCGATTCGTTGCAAGCTGGTCCACGTAGGGGCTAGAATGAAAAGGCACAATTTCTTGTCCTTGCGGCCTTGGGCAGTTTCTCCCTCCCACTTCTGCTGTGTGGGGTTGCTGCGATCTCGCCCCTCCTACAGTGCTTTAACTCGTTTTAAAAAGGTACCCCAATCTCTCCGTGTCGGCCTCTTTGCTCCGTGGTTCGAACCAGATGAGTTTCCAGACTAGTTAGGTCTATGGGCCTTGAGGTTGCCTGCCTGCAGGGACTTACGTAGAACACCTCTTCTTCTTCGTCTTCTCAAAAAACATATTTCCATAAACAGTGTTCATTTATCGTAAGCCAAAAGTATTTCGATCGACGCTTTGCAGTTGTTTCATACAAATACATAGGCACACGGTTTCATTTATGGTAGTTGGAACAGTTCGTGATGGTTCGGGCAGCATTTGGAGGGGTGGCATGGTCGCACTCCCATGTGGTAGAGAAAATTACCATTGCTTTTAAGCGAGAGCAAAGGCCGTAAAGATTGCCGCTGTCTAGCCTGGCCATGGCTGGACAAACGGTTGTGGACAGAAGAAGCTGGAATGTGTCGTGTTTATCTCGCCCGTTTGTGCCACCTGCTGACACTAGGAGGAACTTTGTTTGTCTTAGAGATGTGTACATTTCCTGCTCGCACACATATTCAGTGTACTGCCGCCTAGTTGTACGTCTAGCGACGAAGAGCTTTTATCTGTTCTAGCTTCTTTTGTTCACAACTGTGCATAGACGTAGGGTTCTATGTACAGCACACGTCAAAGCAGGCTTTGCTGCAGACGTGCACAAAGTGGCAGACAACGTGTCATGGCGTCTCTTACTTTGTCTTTCTAGTAGCGATGTGAAGTAACAGACGTAACAGATGAGGTAACAAAGGTGCCATCTGCTAGTCACGTGGATGTCGTCTGTTGCTTTAGCTGAGCAGACGAGACCAAATTGTGTTTTCGGTGACTTCCGGGTTTGCACCTTAGCTTTCAGATACGCTCCCAGGTTTCAGTCGTGGTCCAGGCTTTGACATGCCTAGAATGGGCAGGACACTTTCCTACATTCCAGAAAGGGTGATGGATTACATTGTCTTGGTCTTTCACGAAGATGGCCTTTAAGATAGAACGCCGTGAAGCGCTGCAACTGTCATCTGCTAGTTCGGGGGAGGGCCACGCATGTTGGGGTAAAAATGGAATCGCCCGGACGCTTGGGTAGCCTTGCTTATGCTGTGCTGGTCTCAAGCTTTTCTCTTCTGCCAAAATTTAAATGTGTCTCCATGCTTCACAAAGCCCTCCTTTCAGCATTCTTGTGGTCGTCTGCTTTGTCTGTCTGGGAGTCTGTGGCAGTCCTGCTTGTTGCCTACCTTTATTTACTCTTTTTTCTGACGCTTAGTTCTCCTGACATGCCCGGTTTTGGTTCTTTGAATTTCAAAAACAGAGACAAAGGAGAAGTTGTTTCCTTTAAAAATAAGTTAGTGCCATTCCTGTCAGTACGCTTAGCGGAGTACCGGAGATGGTGTTGGCGATTTGAAACTTGGTTCCCAGAAACCACCAGAAACAAAAATGTCCTTCTGTTAAAAATATTTTTGGTTTTGTTTTAATGCATTTGTGTGTTTTGCACACTGTCAAGATTGTCCAACTTTTCGTTGGCATTTTATCTCGAAATACTTTTTTTTTCTTTTTTGCCACACTGCAGATGCTAAACTGGTTTCGATGAGACTGGAAACTGGTTTCGATCGAACAATTCTACACTCGTGAGTCATTATGAGGGAAAAAAAGGGATGCCACGATTTTTGCTTGTTTTGATCGTGCGAATCTTTACACTAGCTTTGCCACTAAGTCATTTCCCATGTTTCTTCTGCTAATGATACGCTCGTCTGCTTTCTAGAAGCCCCTTAGTTTCCCTTTCCTCCCCTTTTTTGCCAAGTCGTGTTTGTGTTGTCTTGCGATCGTTGCGCAAACTCCGAGAACAGCATGGTCTTTCTTTGTTCGGTTTTTGGCTCGAAGCACATCCCTGCGGGTTTGTTGTCGATTTTGCGTTGTGCAGTCTGATCTCCAGTGCTTGCATACTGTTAAGATCGCGAGCATCGTCGACAAAAAGGCGTGCGTGTGGGGTGGACTTTTCGAATGTTACGTGATAGCCCCTACCCTCTGGTCGTGATCTGTATTTGTTTGTTTGGTGAAACAAAGTGTTTCGAGAAATATTATGCAAGTGAAGTCGCTCCCCCTTGCTGGAGAAGGAAAAAAAAGAAAGAAAAAAAGAAGTGTACGAAACATTTGTATAGTTACACGCAACGAGTCGTTCTTAGGGAGACCTTAGGTAATAATGTAAATAACTGACTGGAACATTCTCAGTGTGTGTGTGTGGTTGTGTGTGACTGTGCATGACTGTGCATGTTTGGAGATGGGGTAGGTTGGAGCGATCGACGACGAACAGTAGCGTCAGTTCTTGTTCCATCTCGGGGAAGGCCGCGTCATTCCTTAGCGTCGGTATTTCTTTGTTTTAAGGGAGCAAAACCATCAAATTTGTGAACCGCGTTTTCTTTTTGTTTTTTTCCCCGAACAGTGCATATGGCATAGCAAATTATTGTGTGCGATGTCAAGTCGCTGCGCGTATAGTATCATGTCCTTTCTGCATTTCGGTTTTGATGACGAGAGCCGGAATATCGGAACGACGGCGCAGACCAGGAATCCCAATATGGCGGCTTCCACCGGGGTACAAAAAACAAGCACGTTGGAGGCTTCATCATCTGCTCTCTTTCTAACACGCGGAGCGCACATGTGTCGCAATTTTTGAGCTTGCGTGAACCTCCCCCCACCATAGTTGCGCGCCCCCTATGGTCAATGTCGGGTTGAGAGAAGTGGAAGCTTCACCCACCTTTTTCCACTTCAGCAGAGCGAACGCGGGAAAGGAAGTCACCTCCTCTCCAGCGTTCGCTCTGCTAATGTGGAAAAAGGTAGGAAAAGCTTCCACTTCACTCCTAACCTGTCCCCAAGGCTGTGTTCTAAACCTTACCCAAATAGATCCGAGATAATCCAGCGGGCCGTGTCACGTGACGCGCAGATAAAGCGATGCTGGACACGGGTAAGTTTTCAATGTCAAATATACAAATCCCTTATCCTGGGGGAAAATCGAGTCAATTTTGAAACACGGCCCAAATATAGTCTGCGACGTTATCCCAATATCCCGGCATCCAACAATCGAAACCGAAACCAGGTTCCGAACTATAAACTAGTTACACCGGTTCGACGTACTCTACAACGTGTTCTATAACGAATGGTGCCATATGCATTGTGGAAAAAGACAAAAAAAAAAAAAAAATGCAACCCAGGATTTTAGGTTTTTGCGCCTTTACAGAATACACTCCTCCACTGGGAGGGTCTGATCTTCTTTTGGGATCGTATTTCCTTTTTCATTGTTGGTGTATTGTAAATGTGGCCATCTTACTTCTTATTACACGAAACTGTCTTTCACAAAGCGTTTATATATAACTTTAAATGACTCTAAGTGGGCCGTCGGCAAATGTGTAATTATGTGATTGAATTTTTTTTTTTTTTTTACAATTTTTTGGGGGGCAACATTTTTTACGCCACATCTGGGTTTGCATTGTCGGGTTGTCTGCGGAATGCCACGAGTGCGTGACTAGAAAACTGCAGAAACAAATGACTGATCATCGCTGAATGGACGACAAAGAGTGATACTAACGAAGTTAGTTTATTTTGGAGCGTGCATTTTGTGCATTCCGTCTGCGAGCTGCCATAACGAAGTTATATTTGCTTGGTTCTTGGGTTTTTGTTCCGGTGGCTACATGCATTCCAAAACAAGACGAAGAAAAAATATATATGTCGATTCCCTTTATATTGGTGTCCGTTCCGTTGCCAGTTTTTTCCGCGTCGACGACCATTATTTTTTTATTCTACAAGGAGTTTCCGAGCACCATTTGGGCATCAAAGAAATTTGCATGAAGTCAATGAACTGGGTGCACAAAGCGTTTCACAAAGGTGTCTTCTTTGCGATGAACACCCCCCAAGCAGATCCGAGCATGGGTGGTGCCATTTCTGAGTGGCAGCATTAAGCGGACCGTTTGAGCCATTTTTTTCCCTATGCATAGAAAAAAAATTAATTTTTGGGCCTATTTTTTTCTTTCTTAAACCTAGACTCATAAAAGTTTAGTACGACAAACGCACCACCTGAAGACGCCTTTGTAAAAAGTTTAAATGCACTCCGTTCATCTATGTATTTATAAAAAAAACAAATTTACGCCCGAATGGCGCGCAAGAACACCCTGTGTGTCTCATTGCCACCTCGTGTACTTCGCGGACATTCCCACGTGAGCTAGTCTTGCCTGCCTCTGTTTTTATTTCTTCTAGAGTTTGTGTTTTTAGATTTTTCGTTTGTTTTTTGTTTGGACGAAAAGGAAATCGACAGGAAGGATAAAGGCAAACTTTTGCTCAGAGATTTGTTTGTTTTGTTCTTTTGTATTACATATAGATTACGGTGATCTTTACTACCGTTTATTTTTAAATCTGAGAGGCATTGTCGGCAGTGTTTGTCGGACTGTGCTTTCGTAACATTTTATGTTTCTGGCTCGCCAGGGCGGCCGTTTGGGAAGATGACGGTGCAATTTTTCGCTCGCTTTTTGCTTCGACAAAGCTCAATATCACTCTCATTTCTTTTTTTTTTATGTTTATTTGGTTTTTTGTGCACAGGCAGTCTCCATTAAAACCAACTGTTGATAGATAAATTGTGATTGTAAAGAAATACTGTTTCACCTCAAACCATGAGAACTCCTGCCTTTCATGAACTTTGACTTGTACTTTAGAATATTGAAAATTGTTTTCTTCCAATAATGCAGTCAATCAGCATCTGGCAACAGTACCTACTACATAGTTACGGCTTCTAAATCCTAGAGTGATAACTTTATTGCATGCAAAGCCCGAATCGTGATTTTGTTTTTTCTGGCACTTCAGCTCAAAGCAGTCAGGAGTTGACTTCGATGGAAGTGTTGTTGTGTTCGAGTTTGGTAAAAAATGCACAGTCATCTTTGCAAAACTCTCCACCCTAGAGTCTTCCCCCCTGTGGTCAACGTGCACAAACGGACACCTTGTTTTTTGTTGTGGAGCTTAATTTATTGCCGTTTGAGCACGTAGCTGCAGCTATCGAAATCCGTTAGTGCGTTGCCAGAAACTTTTTTTTCCTTTTTTTTTCTTTCGAGATTTTACTATTTTAAGTGCAGGTGCGTTATGCCTTTCGTCTGAGAGGACCAAGTCGCCATAGGCGTCCCAGAGAAGGGGCGGGTCCACGTTCCATTCTCAGCACTCCGTGGCAGAAACGTAATTCCGGTATGCTGCACTCGTTTATTTTTTCTAATTAACGAATGCATTTTGTTTGACAGACATCTCCGAGCGGTACCTGCATTTTAACCTCTGCGGTCACGATCAAGTTATGGTTACCCTGTCGGCGCTTGGGGACGGTTTCAGCGTGCGGATGTTCAATGTGCAGAATGTGGACCTCGCACGCTTTTTAGCGTTTGCGAGGCACCAACGGTCCAAGACGTTTGTCAGACAATATTTGGATTCACTGGAACCACGCAGTGAAAGACCCCAGAAACGGGAACAAAACGATTGGTTCAAAAAAGCGTTCGGAGGACACTAACCCCCGACGACCCCTGCGCATTCTGGCTCGGAAAGATTGTTCACCATTTGCATGTCTGCTTGCTAACCGCAGTCGGCTTTTAAGTCTCCCGACGGTTAGACTACCGTGTGAACAAATGCCACGTTCGTTTTGTTTGCGTCTCTCTCGTGAAAAGCCGCGATGACGACTACAACTCCTGCTTGTATAAAAGAGTAATTGCAGTCAATGATGTACTTAGGGACCATAGCCTTGGGTGTTTTTTCGTGGGAAGTACGCTCTTTTGAGAAACAGCAACAGTCGGCCCCGGAAAAATTGGGTTTCGAGGCCGACCCGGTGTACACTGTTGTGAATACATTGTGAATACTTTAGCGGTAAACACAATTTACCGAGCGACGAGCGATTCATTTTATTTTTACTTGCGACTCGGTACGTTTCATAGAGTGTTGGAAAGACTTTTGTCAAGGAGGCTGACTGTGTTTGATGTGTTGCCATTGAAACGAACTTGCTCATTTTACGAACGGCGGGTGTAAGATTGTCTGTTGCCGAGATGCTTGCCAAAATGGAGGGTTGAAAAAAAAAGTTCTTTTTTTTTGTTTGTTTGCTAGTTTTTTGTTTCGAGGAAATGTGCGACTGGGTGAAGAATCAATGTGATGTGTACCATAATAATAATAATAATTGTGCCGGAAGAGCAGTGACTACGATGACAGTGTTCTCTCCCGGTCATCCCTAACTCCCCTCTTCACTATTTAACTCGAAAAAAAAACTGCAAGACTTATAAATTTACATTTGTATAAAATGAGCAAAAAAAGAAAAAAGTGCACTCGAATAAAAACCCTTACATACAGCTGTGTGGATCTGTTGTTCTTTCTCTGGAGTACCGAAGATACTTCTGAATTTTGTCCTGCATCTGGCTGATGCGACTACTGTTGGCCTGCTGGCGAGTCAGCTTCCCTCATGAGAATTGCTATTGCCCAGCTTGGATAGCTATAAACTCCTTCGTAGTTTCAGTTGCCTAGCTATTTGTAGTTATTTTGGTAACATCAACCAAATGAGGTTCAACTTCTTCACTATGCCATCTTGTGGCAAAATTGAACAGTAAAAATAAGCCAGGATTCCAACATACTGAGCACGTCAAAACCTCTTTCCACCACGATCTACACTGTACCTTACGAGATCTGTCATGTGTGACCAAGTCCTGCAGTCGCAAAAGAATGACCACCTTCTAGAATACCCAAGATGTCTGGCAAGATTACTAGTCGAAAACAGTGAGATGTTTACATAATTTGTGTTCTATAATTGACTGCAGTTGAGACGCACTTGCTGCGTTCACATCTTCAGCTCTGTACCTTGTCCCACGAAGCAGCGTAAATACAGCTGAGAGAAACTGTTGATGTAATGAATCTAAAGGCACAGCTAATGATTGTTTATAATGAAATTAATGCACAGGTGCAAGCAAGCTGGACGAGAATAATGGTAATAATCCCTAGAGAAGGAAGGAGGGGGACAAAGGACAAACAGAAATCTCCAAGCACAACTACGGGACTGGTGCGTGAGTGAAAAAACCTGCCTGGTCCTGGTATCGAACCAGGGACCTCTCCATTTCCAGTGGAACGCTCTACCAACTCGCTTGCACCTTTGCATTAATTGCATTGTCATCATAACCCTAAAAGGCAGGTCATTCACCCTTGTTGGTGTCAGACTGGTGGCGGCTGTTAAAACACGTTTGCTCTACCGTCATTTAACTCCTGGTTAGCTCAGTTGGTAGAGCGGGTTTATTATCATTGATGATTGTCCTCTGGTTTCCATTGCCAGAAAGATGTTTATTAATTCCACGTTGCAGAAAGAAGAAAGTTGCAGCAATAAATAACCTTTGGAGCCAGTTTCTACCCGATTAGGGCACCTGTGCAATGCACGTTGTATACATTGTGCCACATCTGATACCTCTTATCGCAACTGCCACATTGAAAAAAGAAACGGGTGGCAAGCTTGGGAGAACAAGGATCTAGGGTCTTGGTAGAAGACGCGTCTACACGTTCGGTCCTTTCTGTTTATAAATGCACCAACAAGACCCTTGCACTGGCAGAACATTTCTAACAATGTATATTCAGAGAATACATGCTACCTGTAAAGACATCACTAAGGCCTTGTAACGGCAGTCACCTTGGATTGCAAAAAGTTGAAGCAATGTGCTAGACTCGCAAGACAAAAGCAGCAACACCTGTTAACCTGCCCAGTACTTTAAAAAGGTCAGTAATGATTGGCATAACAAAACAATCATGTGCGTTTGAAACAATTCCCACACCTCTGCAGAAGTGCACTCGAAATGAACCAATCTGATCACTTTGAGAAATAAACCAACTGATCACTTTGAGGAGGAGACATTGAAAAGGCACTGGCCACACTTGCATGAATGTGACCGAGGGTTTCAAATCGAGAGGGGGCCAATCGCACATACCCAATCCTCCTTTCGCTTTTTCTTCGACCCAATCATTGTTAAATCTCGACCGAAGCACTAGCCACATCCACGTAAATGCAGACATTGTAGTTCATGACATTATGCCTCATGATGATACATTTAGTACCAACTGGTCCACACTTTTTAGCAAACTATCCATGCAAGGATGTTTTAGTAAATAAAGTTTCTTATAATTACTGGTAGTTTAAAAAAATTTTAAGTGAAAGTCATTGTTCTGTTCTTTCTGCATCAGTAACCAAGAGTTAAAAATATGTCATCCTGCTTTGAATTACAGGGTGAATGCAAGGAACTAAAATGCATAATCTTACATGCCTTGTTCAACTGTCTTAAAAAAAAAGTTGTAATTTTTTTTTGGAATGCATTTTTTTTTAAAGAAGTGCAAGTCATCTTTTCAAACAGCCCTCCACACAAGGTTAATGCCTACCTCCAGTTGCTAAAATTATTGTGAGCAGAGCATAATTAAAATGCAGCTAGTCAACCCTTGCGCCACAAATTTGCGTTGCACATATGTAATGGTAAAGCATGAAAGCGTTTCTTCTAAAATGGTGCGCGTATTTCCGGTTTGTTCTGTTCAGCAAACAAGCATGCCTGTTACTGTAACATTGGCAGGACATTAACCCTTTACTGCACAACTTTTTATTTTTTCACAATTTTATTCCAGCAGAAGTAGAATACCACAGTTATCACAATACTATCACTAAAATAAATTTCGAAGTTTCGAAAAAATTTATATCGAAAAAAGATAGGTATGTTGCATATTTGCAACAAGATGGAAATAACGAAATATTTATAGCCGAATGCTAAAAATTTGTGAACCAGAGCCAAACTTGTATTTACAGACATCAGTGAGAGATGTGGCCTCATTTGCTTGTGTGATACAAAAGAAAGCAGTTATTCTTGCTTGTTGAGCACAGGTGAGTGCCACACTTAGAGCAGTAGCTCATACAAATGCCCTTGCATCCAGGAAACTTGCAACGCTGTCGCTTCTGACTCCAAAGCACCCAGTGGCCAACCTGAGCATAGAAGTATGAACAGTGAGGTTTGTAACACAGATTAATTCGCCAGTGATAATACCTGATCAATCCTGACATCTTGAGGTGGACACGGTGCTGAAGGACCTCTTGTCTTCTTCAGCTGGATGCCTTGCTCCACGGACTCATTGCTGGGCCTTCCCCTTTTCTTCAGTTGATTTTTTCCTGCTTTGCAGAGTGACGTGGCGAGGTCAACCTTGAACTCTGCTAATGGCATGAGCTTTCGTGTTGGTTGATCGGAAGTAGTCTCGGCATTCCTCCTGTACAGCAGCCAGGCATTTACAGCCGTCAAGTCGAGAATATGAAGAAAAATACGAAAGTACTATTTCTTCGATCGGAGATGGGCGCGGTAGAGGGAGATCAGAGAGTCTAAGAGATCCACTCCTCCCATGTGCTTGTTATAAGCGCCTATCACCGACGGACACGGTATGTCGCGCCTCTCCTTTTCTTTTTGGCTCCACCTTGGCGCAGTTAGGACAGGCTCTGCCCCAACAAAGGTGGACAGCAAGGTGACGGCTCTGTTGTCTTGCCACCTTGTACACGACAGCTGAATGCCATCCAGGGTCGCTACCTTCTCTTCAAAGCTTCCCCTTCCTTTCTGTTTCATTTCCTTGTCAGATGGCATGCTGATACCCGTTACTCGGTTGATCCGGACTGTACCAATGCAGTGCACGGTTTCTTTTTCCAGGTACACCTGAAGGGTTGGACAGTTGAAGTAGTTATCGAAATACACTTTGTGGTGGACTCCTCTTGGGATTAACCTGCACAATCGAACAACAATGTTCCCGCTTGCTCCACAGTCAGGCTCTCCTGCACGTCTTGGGGCAGAGTTTTCTTGTCCCGTGTACAGTTCTAGCTTGTACGAGAAGCCACTTACTCCTGAGAGAACAAATACTTTGTACCCCCATTTTTTTTGGTTTCTGGGGACAGTACTGTTTCAGTGCACTTGCGCCTTTGAAAGGTATAATCTGTTCATCCACAGACAAGTGCTCTTCAAGCGGTATCAGCGACAACTGTTCATTTACAGCATCGACGAGCGGTCGTATCTTTGCAAGCCGGTCTCTATCAGGATCATCTCTTGGGCCGAGAGAGCTGTTGTCCACAAAGTGAAGGTTGTGCTTCAACTGTTCGAAGCGTGTCACCGTGAGGTGGTCAGCTACTTGGCTTACTCTGGTAGCTTCACTCCAGTACCACCTAGTGTTCTTCAGCTGAATTATAGACATCCACATGCAGGTGCCTAGAAAAACTTCAATCTCCTCGGCACTGGTGCAGAGGGGCTTACTGGCATCCTTCTGGACTGAGTACAAATTGCTCTCATTTGCAATAAGCGAAATAAGAGCGCCTGGAAAGATGAACTTGAAGTATTGGAAAGGTGTTTCCAACTCTGAAACTTCCTGCGGAAGCTCATTTTGTCCAGTGAACTTCACTGTTTCAGGATCCCGCATCAGGCTTGCATTCTTCCAGATAATTCTTCTCTTAGATTGAGTTGATGACTGATCAGCTGGTTGGCTTGCGGGAGCTTCCTCTTCGTCAGAGCTTGTACTCGCCTCGCTTGAACTGGCACTACATTGTGCAGGGGGTTGGACATCTGGGGTACAAAAAATAACAGCGTCTCGTACAACTCATACAATGAGCAGTAAAATAAATAATTTGGAGAGAAATTCTACATTGTATAGGGGACTATCTTCCCTGGCGGTTCTAAGTGTGCTCTTTGAAAGCGTGAAAACAACCCTACAACTTTGCAATTGTGTGTAGTTACACCTGACGAAGGATGGTCTCTTCCGAAAATCTCTGTCAATAAAGCCTACACTGCTTCTAATTTTATTCTCTACGTGAAAAAAAGTTGGATTTCCAGAAAAAAACATTAACTTACAATCAGAGTCATCGTCACTGCCGGAGAGCTCGCTGTCCTCACTGTCGGAAGGAATTCCACGGCTGTAAAACCGTTTGGGGTCCATTGTGTCTGCTCTACGAAGAAAAAACACCGTCGTGCACGTTGTTGCATCTGTGCAACATAGCTATTTTTTGCTTCCAAAGACAAACTTCGTCGATAATCTTAAGGTTTTTAGTATTTACATAATCAGCAGGACATTAAGTTGAGTCGTAAATTTTTTGTTTTGCATTACACTGTATAGAACGTGATATGCAGTAGTCAAGGCTTACCTGTGTCACTTGTTGAGCGTCCACGTGGTGGCTGTCACGCTTTTTAGAGAGCAGTTTCGCCGCCTGAGTACAGATGGCAGCACTGGACGGCTCGCCTCGCGGATGTATGTTGCAGAAATGCAACAACGTGCGGAACTAGCACTGAATGCATTTTGTAGATGTTTTTATCGTCGTTTATCGCTATGTTGCGAATATGCAACAAGGTGCAGTAAAGGGTTAACAATTCCATCTCTTCACAAAAAAAAATAAAAGAAAGCCCAAAACGTGACCGTTATCATCAATTATCCTGTCTCGTCGACACAAGTTCCTTTTTTTAAATTAATAAAACTTTGGATACCAAAGTTCACCTTAGAGGCTGTCAATATTAAAACAGCAACAGTTTTGAAGTTTTCGGTTTTTGAAAAATTACAGTAGTCACCAGCTCAAAAGATGAACCTGAAATGCAACTAAATATTGTCATAGGATGCACACAAATTGATGAAATTTTTGTAGTGCGAATGAAATCGTCCAGGAATCGAAGATTAAACCAATCGCACAACTGTAAATAACTGAACGAGAGTGTTCAGTGGACTTTCAACATGCTGATCCATAAAAACTGAGCATTGTTTGTGGCAGACAAAGGTAATTTATATGCCAATTTACCTCAGAAATATGCCAAATATATGTTACATTGAGACAGGAACACAGCAAGCCATGTACGTTGCAGAAATGACAGGTTTCTGTTTCTCAACTGATCCCAAATATGAGGTTTGTTTTATGTTACTTTTCACCGACACACCGCATTCAATTTGTATGTAGAGATTTTAACATTACAGTCAAATCTCGTTATTTCAAACTCGAGGGGGACCCAAAATTTGTTTGAATAAAGCAAAGTTTGAATTACCGGGAGCTTTCTCCCATAGAGAGGCATAGGGTGGGCCTGCATGTTAGTTTGAATTATGCGCAAGTTTGAACTAAGAGTGTCTGAATTAACGAGATTTGAATGCAATTCATCTCCATTAATAGCTTGCCTTGTTCACTCGATGCCAATCGAATGGCTCGCATATCTTGGCAAGACTTCGTCCAAAAACATACACTGTGACTGAGCGCCGTTTCCACAGATGCCACAGCCACAGCCACATGTCACTGGCCGAGACCAACGGCATCACTTGGACCTTGTGACGCCGTCAGAAAGCTCAAAGATCCAACACGTCAACGCGGTTCGAAAAGAGTCAGTACCGCTGCCACTGCATGGATTGTTGGTCTGGTGTGGCCGGGACGGGGGGAAGAGGAACGTCCGCCGAATGTTGGAGAGGGACGTCGGCCGAACGTTGGGTGCTGTTCGGCAACGGTGCGGCGCCGGGCTGAGTCGTAACTCCAATCTCAGCATCGCCAGCCGATCGCCAGCCAGCCATTTGTTCAGCCTCTCTCCGCTTCTCTTCCTCTTCCTGATGTTTAATTAAAAATAAAAACCATTTTGCAGGTGTTTTTTTGTTTTTTAAATAATTGTATTATTAGCAAGCAAGAACTAAGGGTCCGTTCGCACACTTGAGTTTGCTCAGGACCGAGTTTTTCTGATCTCTGCTGATGAGAGAACACGTTGGCACGGTGGCACCATCTATGAGGGGACTTTGGAACTGCATTCCACCCGAGCCAAAGTTTTTGCAACATTTGCGAGATCAAATGTGCACACTGTTCACGAGAAACGGCCATTCATAACGCTCTCTCCAGTTCTTTAAGCCAAAAGATAATGATAATGAAAAAAAAAAAAAAGGAGAAATAAAACATACGGAAACTGCCAGTGTTCTACAGCCACCCGAGAGATGGCGCAAGTTTGTGTCCTCTAGTCTCGTAAGAGAATTTAAGAGGCTTCGAGGCACACGATCGTAAGCAGTCGCAAGTCCGTGAACCAGCCTCAATTCACAGAGACGTTTTTCAATTGTTACAAAGGAAGGATTTGTAACCACCGCACTGCTTGTTCGCTCACCGTGTCAAACGAGGCAGGAAAACGTTCACTTCTAGGCTCATTCGGAGCCCCTAGGTTAGCCACGCTTGAGAGTAACGACAACTCGGCCACCTTGGCGCTTCAAATCATTGTTGCCAGGTTATCCACAGGAAATGCTTTTTCCGTCCTCCGGAAACGCTGACGTTGACATTGACGTGATTGCCTCGGCTTCCTAACAACACACCTAATGCCAAAAAAAGTTGCATTCTCCAATTGTGACGATCGGCGTTTGCACACGCTCTGCATGAGGCACTGAAATGGCTGCGCCCGCGTCCGGGAATGGAGCGCCATCACTCTAGGTACAACTTCCTCGGTCGCTCTGGGCTCGGTTATGTAGGTTTTCTTTGCCTGCATACTGATATAATGGAGCAAGAAAGTGTGCACTACAAACCACGGGAAACTCGCAGCTGCATGTCTCAACACAACATTCGTTTTGCAGGTGAGCGTGTGACGTCGGACGTGCATGTGTGATAGAGAGCTTGTAAAACAGTTGGAAACAACTTGAAGGGGATAAAGAAGTGCAAAGACTCCCAATGGAGATCCACAAAATGTAAAAGAGGTAAACGGACACAAGCAGTCACAAGACACCGATCACTAGTGCAAGGCAGGGAGGAAAAAGTGAGAGAGCCATACTTGGTTAGAGAGGGAAGCCAGCAGTGCAAGAGTCGTTGAGTCTACGGGAGTCTTATGGGTGACACAGTGCGTCTAAACGAACACTTCCTGAAAGGAGTGAGGGACGGAGGGAGGGGTGAGTAGTGTATAGATGTGGACAGAAAGGGAGAATGAATTGGGGTTATTTCAAGCAACATACACAAGCACAATAGAATGTTTGCTTTGCTTCGTTTGCAGTCAAAGTAGAAAGCAATACTTTTGCTAATAAGAAAGAAACGGAAGAAAAACACACATGCAACTTCACAGTTATTTGACCAAGTGTCAAGACACGAGTCATCACCAACCGTGATTTCCTCTGCATGTGCGCACTTAGTAATCTACTAGTCATCGAAACACAAGTTTAGGAACAGTAGAGTCCGTCCTAATGCCCGAGTCCCATTAGAGCGACAAACAGAAAGAAACGACAGGGACAAGCTTCAAACCAGTCTTTCTCGGTTTGAAAGGCTTCGTAGAATAAAGGAGGCTATGCTCAAATATGAGCATCATGCATGCGAGGGTATCTTTGGCAGGCTCGCAATCACTCATACTTACTTCACGAGCACCGAACGACTAAACGCCTGCCAAAGGTACCATCGCGAGCATGCTGCATGTGTTTGAGGCTTGTCCCTGTCGTTTTTTTCTGTTTGTTGCTCTAGTGGGACTCGAGCATAAGAGTGACAAATGGAAGCCATACCTCCTGAACCATTTTTTGGTACTCTTCGAGCTCATATTGATACTTTGGTGAGGTGATGCCAAAAAAGTAGGCCAAGTGTTCTCCGAGGTAGTCGCACACTGGGGAAAAAAAAAGAAAGGAAAAGAAATGGTCTTGTGTCATTCTGCCAGGCAAAACATGTTATGCTATGTGACAAATACCATACCTGCTAGAGCTTTTGTGCCCATCCGCAGTGCCAAATGAAAGAAGTAAGGGAACCATGACATTGTTTTCTGCAAGGAGGAACGTCTTTCAATTAGCACGCCATTTCCGTTGGAATCCTCTGAACTTTTCTGTTAACAGCATTTCTTGTGTATGGAGATTCCAATGAACGTTAATAGTGCTTGCACAGGGCCACAATGCCACAATGCCACACGCCCAGAACTTGGAAAGAAACCGCATGTAAGCGATTTAGCGAGCGACGAGACGAGCGACAGCGACGAGAGTCAGCGACGAGCGACGGAGATTTCTCACTGTCGCTCGTCTCGTCGCTGGGTTTTTGGATTTCTAGAAAACGTCGCTCATCGCCTTGGTCACTTGCTTCCGTCGCTTTTGTGCGAGTTGCCTTGTCACGCCACTGAGCGAGCGACAGCGAAGCGGGTCGGCGTCGCTTGTCTCGTCGCTCGCCAAAATCGCTTACATGCTGTTCATACCACGGTCTTATATAGTAACCATTATTATTGTTGTAGTTGTGTCATCAAATTTAAAGTTACACCACAAACTTTTAACAAACGGCCCACCAGTCTCGGCACATTTCATTTTTGACGTAGTGGATCGGTGGCGGTCGCTTTCTTACCGGATCGGCAACTGTCAGATTGCTGGTGTCCGGCACTAACGCTTCGCTTTCGTCTTCCGAGCTGTATTCTTCCAAGACGCCATCGCTAAAGTGGAGTATTTTCCGGGGAGACTTGATTTTCGCTGAGACGCAGTCCTTGTTTAACGACACCTCGGAAAACTGTGGCATGTTGGGTTTTGACGCAGAACTCTGCAGGAAAGAAATGGGCGGAGCGTAAAAAATCGGTGACACAGGTAAACATATTACATTCTCGTCGTCGTGTTAGAAGCTGCGCTCCTAGATGCGCGTCTATCTGCATTGGCAAAAAATTTAGGATAAAATATGTGTGTCTACAGTAGGGTGCAACGCACTTCGTTAATTTCTGTAGGCCGCGAAAGATCCACGTCGATTCCGTTGGTCGCCGAAAAATGCACGGGAGTGACCTCCGCCATGTTGTTTTGCGTTGCTAGGAGCGACTGACTACTTCCTAATGGACGTAAATGAGCTTCTAACTCGGTAACTTGAAAAGTCGCCGTGTTGCCATGTTGGAAAACCCATAGAATAAACATGGTATTCGGTCCACTTCCGGCCGCCATGACAGGGAGCCGAGAACACTGCCGGTTCGGGTTTTGTTTGCATGCTTTGAAAGGGCAACATATCACCGCTGTTTCGTGTGTTCCGCAATTAAATCGGTTTTTGTTACGTTTTCCGCTTCCAGTAGCTTCTTCAAGTGCAGTAATGCTTTGTAATAGACTGGGCAACTTTGCTATGGCAGACCTCCGCGAAATAAAAGATGTAGCGAGCCGCGGCCGCCGACCGCAAACAGTCTCCATCACGCGAGCATCGATTTCACGCTCGACACCTAATTTTGAAATCAAAGATGCACACATCCGACTCTTCCGGACAGCGAAGATACTTGATCGAACGAATCACACTTTAGTTCTTAAGGGTATAAAGGCTAATTGAAAGATTAATTAATATTTGCCCAGATATTACTTTTCATTTAAGCCTGAGCGCAGGTTTTCATGACACAGACCAACTTGGTCCCGCATAAAATATTTAATACATAAAATACTTTTTTTTTTTTTTTTTTTTTTTAATTTCGGAGCAGTGACGTTATTTCTAGTGTGCATGCGAGCTTCTGAACAGAGGGTTTTTGTAAGAGTCCCGAACAAACGCCAGAAAAAACCCACGTACAAGTTTGAGGGTTTGTTTTAGCGGAGGATGTCAGAATGGGAGGGATCTTTTCGCATGGAGCCGAACTTGGGGTTCGGTTTTACTTTGATTTCAGAAACGTCAATGCAAGAAGTTTGAAATACAGATTTTTCTTTTCAGCATGTAATACAGCGTCTGTTTGTGACACGATTAAGGCAAGACGTAAAACAACATAAGTACTTTTTTTTTTTTTTTGCGTAGTTAAACACAACAGCGCTTGCTCGTCGTCGTAAACGCACCGCTCACTTTTTCTCGGGCACGATCGAGAACGAGGGGCACAATCCTTCGACTCTGTCCGACAAGCGTAGAGCCACGTAACTTTCGGCACTTTCGGCCCGGTTTCCCGCCGAAAGCTGGTCAACCGGAAGTTATCTCGGCCACATAAAGGCCATTACTTGTTTTTGTTTACCTTGTGATACCTTGCATTTTATTTTCATAGCTCGTTTACAAATTTGGTTTATAAATTATATTTATAGGTTGTTTATTAACCCTCCGTGTTTTTTTACTTCCGAAGCAAAGCCGCATCATTGCCTTTTTCTCTTTTATTACAAGATGGCGACGCCCACAGTAACAGCGCACGCTACATATACCGCCCCTCTAGTACTATTCTTGAATCCCATGTTGCGACACCTGTTATCGCGTGGAAGAAACATTCGCCGAAAAACAAAAAACACGCAACAAACAAGGGAACCCCACGCCGCTGACACCTGTGTTGGGGGAAGTATCGATACAATCGCAGTGCGTCGCCTACGCTCTTCCAGCCCGGAGCCATTCCCAACTCCAATATTTTGAGACCGTCAACGTGTTCCTGCGTGAGCGACCTCAAGGATACATCGTGCCGAACGCGTAGAGCAAACGGAAGGAAGAAAGAAAGAAGAAAAAAAAAGGCCATCTTTGCGTACGGACAGCTTCACGTTTTCTTCCCGTCCAGTTACAAATGTCAGTTCGCGGTCGCCGTGATGTTTGATGTGTTGGCGCCCTGACCACTGCTGGAGCTAACGCGGTCACCCACTGCTCCGCGTGAAGGCGACCCGGACCTACGACCGCGGCATGGATTGAACGAGGAAGCTGTCATATTTGTGGTGCCGTCAGTGAATTCCTGGATGGTGGCATGGTGCCGACGATTTCGTGCTGCGAGTGGCGGCGGCAAAACGGCTGCTCGTAAAATTCATCGGAACGACGACGCAGGCTCGTGAAAGCTCGCCGGACGTTCGATGGTAAGTTGGAATTCCTTCGATTACGACGAAGAAACGCGGATGTTCGTGCGCCGCAATCCGTGCGAAATGTGTGCGCTTGCACGCGTGGACGTCGAAAAGACCGCTGTCAGCTTCGTTGCAGTGCACGACCACTTTGCTTGCTTCGGGCTAACCTTTTCTTTCAGTAAAGACAGACTTATTTAGAACAAGAGAGAGAGAGAGAGAAAAATAGAAGAAAATGATATTAGTGAGTGGTAGCACTTATTGGTTGTAATAGTTAGCTCGGGGTCTTTGCGTGGTTGGGATATTAAAACAGAAAAACTAAAAACTGAAGGGGGAAAAGAAAAGAAAAAAAAGTGAGGGAAGATGATGTGTGTTCCGCCGCTCGACCGTCAAGCTTTTTGTGTTAAAACCGGATCTTGCTGTGCGGTGATAGCTGCCGAGTGGTACTCGGCGTACTTGAAGATGAACTCAAAAGAAAAACCGAGACGCCTAAAAAAAAATGCTGCTTTTATATATATATATTATAACTTTTTGGAAGCTGCGCGTTACGGCGGTGGCGTTACGAACCGGCGATTTCTTGGATGAATACAAACTGCTGGTAGTATATACGTATAATAAATAGCCTTGAGAAAACTGGTTTTGTTTGTGTAATGCGCCGTCGCCAGGGCTTGTATCCGCTACTCTGTTCCTCTCTTGAGCTATTTGTCCGTGCCGGGACGCTCGTGATGCAAGTCCTATATAACGACTGACAAATTGGAAGCGTTTAGTCGGGGTTGGCCCTGCTACATCCCAGCGCACCACCTACCTGTCGATGGTCGTGCCATTGGTCATATACCTTGTGGATCGGACGCCGTCCGTCTGCGTTCGCCCAATCATCTATGCTCGGACCGTTGACATTGTGTGTAGTACTATTTTAATTTCGGATGGACGGATCGTTCTGCACTTGTCACCATTATTAATCAATACGTAATGTAAACTGCTATTCAAAAGCGAGATTCCAGCGAAAAGAGTTTTTTTTTACGCAATGTCCAGATTGAGAAATCTTAGGTTTTCAAAACGCGCACTAAAGTTTGCGAACCGACAGCTTAAGAAACAAGAGGTGTGGCTTATTATCATAACGCCCCTTGGTTCGTTTTTCGGCTTTATTATCGGCGAACTCCGGAATCTGATTGGCTGCGATATGGGAATGAGATGCAGCGGTACTATGAGGCAAGTTGAAACCCGTTTTTTTTTTAATTAAAGAAATTGGATTTATTTAATGGAAATCAGATTAATTTGGTTTAAATCTCTGTAGCTAGAAAATAGTGACTCTTTACCGCTACATTCGTTTTTACACATGGCAGATTGATTGATCGGTCTGTCCCTTCACCGATAACAATGCGGAAGAAAGAGTTACTGTAAATTTAAAGTGCCAATTAGTTAACCACTTTTAAATTATGTAACCCCCGCCATAAAAGAGTAAAAAAATAAAAACAGCTTGTTATTATTTGCGCGCGTACGAAACATATGCATACAGAAAGTATCAAATGTTAGACGTACACTTAATACAAACTATTTTCGGGATTATTTTTGTGTGAAAGTTTCGATTTAAGCCATCATACTAAAACTGGTCCGATTTAAATCATCCTACTTTTTATCCTCCACCCTGCTACCAGCTAATCACTAACCACGAAATTTTGAACAGTAGGACAGTCAACGACATTCATTCTCGTTAATTCTACGCTTCAATTGGGCGATGCGTTGTTGCGCTGAAACAGATCCTCTGTCTATAGCATGAATCGGCAATCAATCTAACATAACGGCCACATTTATTTTGTATGTGTGTGTGTGTGCGTTCGACTAATGCCGGCACGTTTTTGTTATTTTGTTTTCTTTTTTTTTGCTGCCGTCTGTAAATCGAACGGGGTCTCCCTCACAGAGAGCGCAAGAACACAAAGACTAACCGGTCTATCTGGTCGGACTACTTCGCTTCGGATGCCTTCAAACAAAAGGGAATTCGCCCGCGCGTCGTCGTCGTCGTAATTGCCGTGCTTAGTGCCGTGCGCTGACGCCATTTTACTGGACCTAGCTGGCGCTTATCTAGGACTGCCCGTGCGGCGAACGCCGACGGGCAGGCAGACCAGATAAAACAATACCCGTGGGCGCGGTGTGCGGCTGATGTAAGACATACATACAAGAAGACTCGTGTATGCTCCGGGCCAGGACAATGAACTCCTAAAAAAAAAAGTTTAGGTGCCTGATTAGGAAAAATATAACATAAAATAAACTTAAGAAAAAAAGGAATTGCGTTTTTTTTCTGTTTCGTGAGATTTATTTGACTGATTTCGAAGCATGCATACATGGGAATCGCTTCTTACTCAAATTCTGTCGCACAGCGTAAAGATAGCGCTATTTTTTTTATTGTTTTTTTTTTTTTTGGGGGGGGGGGGGGGGGGGGGACTTTATTTTGAAACGCGTTTTGCGAGTTCAGTGTTCAAGACTGATGGGGAATTTCTGCATGCCTGGAATTTTGCGGAAATGCGATTCGTAAGGGTTCTACAATCAAGATCGGCACAAGCGGATCCAACGCTGTAAAACAAGCAAAAAAAAAAAATAATAATAATATAAGAAAAACAAAAACGGCGCCTGTGCAAAAAAAAAAAAAAAAAAGTTCGAACTTTTATTGATTTTTGATTGAGCAGGTTCAAAAAGCGCAGCGAGCAGACAACAGAGCGCGTTGTCTGCTCGCGTGCGCCTATCGATAGATGGCGCCACAAGTTATAGCGTCGCTAACTCGATCGTCTGCGAACGCGTTCGACGTTGACTTGGGCAAGTTTGTTACTCTCATTTTTTTTTTTTTTTTTTATTTACTGGAAGAGAATTACCGCTTGAAATTTCACACGGGAAAACTGACCTGCTCAGTGCACATTCGGTGAAAGAGCTTTCTATGTGCAGGAGTCGTTTTGTCCTGCTAATTTCACAGCGTCGGACCCGCTTGTGCCGCCCTATACATCTATCAAATTACGATTATATTTTCCATCTGCAAAAAAGTCTGATGAATTTGTTGCTGAATGCTTTATGAGCCAGGCGTACCCACAAACTACAACGGAGAAGGCGCCATGCCTTCGATACTGTGTGTCCCGCTCGTTCCAATGTGATCCTTTCAAGGGCTGTTCTCTTGTGCATCCTAAATCATATGAATAGTGAACTTCTGTCTCCGAGGCAAAGCGACTCGCCTACGGATCCCCAGATCGCGGGTTCGAATCCCGAGGTACCCGCACTGTGACAGAGGCTTATTGCGGAGAAGGCTCAACTGAGATTTCAATTGCACGTAAAAAGATCCTCGGATTATTCCCCAATCTACCGCTGGGCATACGAGATGCTTTTCGTTGGTTTGGAAAGTAGAACCCCCAAACGTGACTTAAAGGGGCACTACACCACTTAATGCGATGGTCTATTAAAAAAAAATAAAAAAGAAATTGCATTTATTTGTGGTCGATTTCTCTATTAAAATCGCTATCAAAAGATCGATTACCTCGTAACTATCGCAAAGACCAAATAACGTAGCTTTTCTTTTTTTTGGTAACAGTTTGGTTGCGACACGGGTGTCTAAAAATAATTTTTACGCGAAAAAAAAAAAAAAAAGATACAGCAATATTGGAAATTCTGCGTGCAAAGTCCATGGCGTCACAGAATGGTTATTCGCTCTTTCCACCTGAGCGTGAAGGCGAAGCCGATCCACCTCTCCTCCGCGCGCCCAAAATACCGAGAGAGAAAACGAGTGGAAAGGAGGAGACTATCGCTCCGCTGTAAATGGAGAGGTCCCGGGTTCGATACCCGGACCATATTTTTTCGGTCGCGCACCGGTCACCTAGCTTTGTTTGGAGATTTGTGTTTGTCCTTTGTCCTTCTTCCTTTCCTCCAGGGATTATTTTCGTCATTCTTGTCCGGCTCGCCTGCACCTTTGCATTTACTTGCATTATAAACGCTCCTATTGTCTACTGTAGATGCCAGCTCTGCATGCGCCGCCGCTCCAAACAAGATTGGCGGCGACGCTGCCATATACCTGTGCACCTACCATGTGTTTCAGCCTATGTATGTGACCCTTTTTCTCAGGATCTGCTAGGGTTAGAGGATTCATGTTGGTATCATTGTATTTATTTAGCTTTCTGTGTTCTCTTTACTGAACTAGAATTATTGTTATATATATTTTAGTTCTTTTTTTGCTTTTGGTTTTACTGGACCCTCCCAATTCTAATGCCAAAAGGGACAATAAACAGCTTGTCAAACAAAATTGCTTCGATTATTTTCCATAATTCTAGTTCAGTGGACTCTCCCTTGTGTTGCCTTGGTAGTGGAAAAAAAAAGAATGCTTCTAGTTTTTATGGTTTCAGCGAAAAAAGGTCAAATGTGGCAAAAAAAAATGTTTTGAGATAATTGACTTTGAAGTGAACAAAGGCGCTTTATAACAAACTTGCCCTCTAGAATTGCATGCTGATGTGTCAGTTTGGTAGCCACCAGCCAGATTGTCACCTCCATAGTCAATATCTAGTTTCTTTGTTTGCTGCCTTGCTTTGCGGGCCTCTTTTGTGACGAGCTGTGTAGCCCTGTCTGCGAAGTAAAGTCGTCGCCGGTCAGCGTCCCGCAACCACTGCACCGTGAAGCATCTTAGTGAAACACCAAGTGGAGGCCCGAAGTTGTCCGTTTTGACGTCTCTCTAATCGGTGTGTCGAACAGCACATGTCGCAGTTCAAAAAAGTAGGTGCAGGCGACGCCAGCTCTTTGTGCTGTTTTGTCAACCAGCTGCAAGTCCCCACCGCGCACTTTACACAGCCAGCTTTCGGCGACGGTACAGGACAGAAGGTCGATGTCAATCAGTTCCTAGTCGCAGTCACTAACACTTGCCTTGAGCTCTTCAATCCGTGCTGCCGAGTGCGACAGCTTCGAAGAAGACGCACACGTGGTAGCCGCCCGTTGCGTCCGGCATCAGATTGCGCTGCGGGGACGCGGCGGCCTGAGAAATTGACCTATGCCGACTA